GGCTACCATTAGTAACACACTACACCGCCAGGGACTCAAATCCCACAGTGCCAGACGTGTCCCCCTGCGTAAGCAGGCCCGTCTGAAGTTTGCTAGAGAGCATTTAGATGATCCAGAAGAGGATTGGGAGAATGGTCAGATGAAACCAAAATAGAATTTTTTGGTAAAAACTCAACACATAAGTTTGGAGGAGAGTTGAATCCAAATGATTGCTATTGACCCCTTGCATGTGACGTCCCGGCCACGCCCACTCTCCATGACAGACGATGGAAGTCTACTTGCGAGCCTTCGAAAACTTGACAAAAACAACCTGTTTCACCGAATGACAGCAAAAACTGTGATATTTTGGTTGGTTATTAAAATTGTAAACCGCTTTGTGACTCTGTTCTGTGAAAGACGGTATATAAATAAAGATTACTTACTTACATACTTATACTAACAAGCAAGGACATAAGCCAAATGTGTCTTTTTATCTGATACCTACTCGTGATTAAGACAAGACGACAATGGCCAGCGGCAAGCAACCAAAAGGACTGAGAGCCATCCAAGTACTCCCGAATTTGCAGTGAACACTTTTCACAAGATAAATCACACAACGAACGCTTGAAGTCAAACGTGTCTCTTACTACTGTGCTGTATGTGCGCTGCAACATTGAAATTTCCTCACTGTGGCACAAATAAAGGATCTCTTTTCTTATCTTAGACGTCAGTTGCGTTTTTCACCATTTTCCTCTCCGTCAATACCTACTGTGAAGCATGAAGGTTGAAACTTCATGCTTTGGGGTCGTTTTTCTGCAAAGGGACCATGACGACTGAGCTGTGTAAAGGAAAGAATGAATGGGGCCATGTATCTTGAGATTTTGAATTAAAACTTCCCTCCTTTCAGAAAATGAAACATGGCTGGGTCTTCCAGCATGATAATGATCCCAAACATACTGCCCGGGCAACGAAGGAGAAGAATTTCAAGGTCCTGAAGTGTCTCCAGATCAACCCCATTGAAAATCTTTGGAGGGAGTTGAAAATCAGTGTTGCCCAGCAATAGCCCCAAAACATCACAGTTCTTGAGGAGATCCGCATGAAGGAATGGGCCAAAATACCAGAAACAGTGTGTGAAAACCTTTTGAAGACTTGCAGAAAACGTTTGAGCTCTGTCATTGCCAACAAAGGGTATATAACAAAGTATTGAAATTAACTTGTTACTAACGAAATTCTTATTTTCCACCCTAATTTCATTTACAAATAAATTCTTTAAAAATGAGTCTGATTTTCTGGATGTTTTCCACATTGTCTCATAGTTGAGGTATACTTATGATGAAAATTACAGGGCTCACTCATCTTTTTAAGTGGGAGAACTTGCACAATTGGTGGTTGACTAAATACTTTTTTGCCCCAGTGTATCTACTTTGAATATGGTCGGTACTGAAATTTACCTCATTGGGGCATCTCCATTTAGTTGAAATATATTAGGCTCCAAATATCCAGCCCTGGTGACATTTTTTGACGTTAGAACTTATTCCTTGTTTGGGTGTAACTTCAAAGTTAAATTCTTATCTTCAACATTATATATACTAACAGATGACATAATTTGTTGAAAAAATGCGTGACCATTTGCTTGCGTTGGCGCTTCATGGTAAAATTTAGCATGAAGTGAAATCTCAACCATATAGTAACAATCAGGTGAATTTATGATAAATACATTAAAAAAAAAAACAATATGCATGTGTAAGAGAAGATTGTTAATATGTTGGATTAGAGTGTTATTCCAATAAGAGGAAATTGTTTATGTACCTATTCATTGATGAGCATAAGGAGTATTGGCCCAATTCGGCCCAACTGCAAATGGAACTGTCCTGGTTGAAGATAAAGAACTTTGCACCCTCTGCCTAAAAGCTCTGTCAACCTTTTGTTCACCTGTTCCCAGGAAACACCTCTCATACCGAGGTACTTTTCCGCTCCCTTCCCAATAATCTTAATTTTATCCGTTTTATGCTTCGCCTGATCCGCACAATTTACCATATCAAATTATCCATCGACACCATATTACCATCACACTCTGCTGCTTTCCTCTTGCATCACTTAGGTCACCATTCACTTCTGGGTTTTGATTTTGAACTTTCCTCGCTGCTTCTGCATAAGAGACACTATTCACAACCTTCACTCTCTGAATCTCCACTTTTTTCCTGACTACACACCTTCCACTAAATTTAAGACTATTGTTTTTATTACACTCCTCCACTCTGTGCTCCCCACTGCATCTAGGGCATTTCTGTCTCCCCCTACAGACCGCTGCCACATACCCATACAGTTGGCATTAATAACACCAGAGAGGAGGCGGAACAAACTCTCTCACGGGAAAACTCAAACACCCCAACTTTACTTTTCCAGGGAGTACTGCACCTGTAGACTCCAGTAAAACCGATAAGCTCTCCACATTCTGACCATCAACTTGCCTCATCAACCGTCTAGTTGCACTCACTCCACCTAAGCACTGTCTAAACCTTTCCAGGTCCTGGTCTAAGGGGACGCCGGTTATGACGCCATGCACTGCCTTTTCTCCAACTACTCTTCTTTCAGTCACTGCTATCTTGCACACATTTTCCAACTGCTAAGCTATCTATTTTCTTTTTCAACTCCCTTGACAACACTACCAGGCTCACATTTTTACTATCAGTCTCCTGCCGAAACTTAAGAATTACTTTAGGATTCTGCTGCTCCCTAACTACCCTTTTTCGGCCCGCAATCCCCTCCTCTAAACTATTCCCATCCAAGCCCCGTTTCCTAACCTGGCTACTACTCTATCCCCCCTCGCTTCTACCCCTTTCAAACGAGCCCTATCTCCCTAAATCCTGACTAAAGTGCATCAAGTCCTCGTCATCCGCCAAGGATGCCGTCCCGGCCCAGTCACAGATCGGATTATGCCAACCACCAAAGTGTTTTATTATATTTATATAAACCAGTATATATAAATATAGATATCAGCACCAGCAAGATATCTATGGTAGATGCAATAGGTTACTACACAAACTTGTTATTGTTATAGTTCGATTTTGCACGTACCACCATTAAATGGCGTTTAGCTAATCGTTAAATGCAGGGCACGTAAAGTGCAGGAGGCTAACGCACCCTCCACACCTGCACTGAACAGGAGCTGCGCGGAATGGCAGACATCCCCATCTTACAGGGCTAATATAGGTGGTGGACGTGGCAATTCCAAGCGATGGTAACATCCGGAAAAAAGAACATGAAAAGCTTGAGAAATACCAAGGTCCAGGAGCTGGAGAGGGCCTGGAGGGTAAAGGTGACAGTAGTGCCCGTGGTGATCGGTGCACTCGGGGCAGTGACCCCGAAGCTAGAAGAGTGGTCACAGCGGATCCCCGGAACAACCTCGGACATCTCGGTCCAGAAATGTGCAGTGCTAGGAACAGCAAAGATACTGCGCAGAACCCTCAAGCTCCCAGGCCTCTGGTAGAGGACCCGAGCTTAGAGAGGGATAACCGCCCGCGGAGGGCCAAAGGTGAGTGGACAATAATTTTATTTTTATATATATATATATAAAAAACGATTAGCTAAACGTCTGATTCTAAGAGTAACAACCACAAACACTGTACCTGTGGGGCAACACGCAGGTTCACCACTCCGGACCAGGAAGTGTGCAGGCCAAGACCGAAGGAAGAGTGCTATATTTACTTCCGCTTCCGTCCCGATTCCGTATATGATCTAGTGCTGACCGAAGGAGACAGCCAGCGAGGCAACCAGTATGTGCCATCGGCCCCTCCGACCACCACCAACCATTCACACACACACCAGACTCATTCTAGGCAATGGGTGTAAAGTGTCTTGCCTAAGGACACAACGGCAGTTTGGCACTTTGCAGCTGCAGCCGCCCCACTGTGGCTGCGGCACGACAGCAGACAGTGGAAGTTGATGGTGAAAGTCTTGAGGTGGGCTCGAACCCACGACCTTCTGGCTCAAAGGCCAATGCTCTACTGAGCTACTGTCGCCCTTCCATGTCTCCTGATGACACCGCCAAGAGGGAGCATGTACAGGTTAAAAAGAACTTGACCTAAAATGGAACCCTGGGGCACACCACATTTGATTTTATGGACTTGATAAGAGCAGGTATCCAAACTTACCATGAACGATCTGTCTGTTAAATAAGAAGTGAACCATTTGTGGACAGCACCAGAGAGGCCAAGGTGTTTCAGGCGGGATAAAATAATGGTGTGGTCTACTGGAGGCAAAGACGAAATATTCTGGGCAGGATGTTATGAAGTTCGTATTCTTTTGTTAGTATTCACTAGATATATTACACATTTAATGAGCCTATATTCATAATTACTTTTTTGTAATTGTGATTTTACTTACTTAAGTTAAGTTATACATACTTTATTGTCTTCACTCTGCTGCTTTCAAGAATTTTAATCTTCTCATTTCTGAGTTCTATGTATGTGATAGTGTATGTGGATTTATGATTGGGAAATTTGTCCTCTGCATTTGACCCATCCTGCAATACGCCACTAGAGCCTCTGTCAGGAGCAGTGGTCGCCACAGTGATGCACCCACATCCATCTCCAGGTGTTGGTGCTCTGCTTGGTCAGGACCAGAGCTGGAGGGGATACCGGAGCACCTGGAGAAAACTTACACAGACACAGGGCCAACATGTAAGCTCCATTCAGAAAGGCCCTGTTCCCAATGGGATTTGAGCCAGGAGCAGTGGAAGCAAGAGTGCTAAATTCAACCATTTATTTCATCTATCATTTATTTGTATTTGGATTTATTTTGTGCATTCATTGTTAAATTGCTAACGCCGTTTCTGGATGTTGTACATGGGTAGTGTGGATGTGTGGCTTTCTGCAGATGCCACGCCCCCTGACGTCACATTCCGGAAAAGGAACTGTGTTTATTAGTTCGGCGACACGAATCTATATTATCAAACCGAAAGTAAAGCGACTGTCAGATGCAAACCTTGTGATGGCGGTTCAGCAACTCGTTTTAAACAAATGTCTGTAGAGAAACCACGTAGTAAGTAGAATATTCTCTATGATAGCGCTCATGTATCGGATCAGCTTTCTTCTAAGAGCTCGCCTGTCATTTCCAGAAACTCTAACATCTTATTATTGTTGTGCTTTGGCAACTGTGCCAGATAGACGACACTGCATTAGTACAGATAAAATGGCGTTTTAAAGAGTAATAGTATTTTACCCACTGTATATAATTACTCTAAGTACTAAAAAAAACCTTATTTTTATCAGATATGTTTCCCTTTACCTAAATCACAAAGCAACCATAGAGTAAAACGCCATAAAATTACTGTTGAGCTATTGTTTACAGTAATTTAATCAAACTAATATTTAAAGGTGACTGGTGTTGTCATGTGTACTTAAACTGTGATTGAGTGGAGGAAAAAATAAGCCAATGGAGGTGGACCCTCTGGACCCTCGCATTTTGGGTCCAACATCCGGTCGTCTGCCTGGGCTTCATATATGATAGTTAAGTGTAGCTGTAAACTTGGACTCTCTTCACAGGAAAGAAGAGAAAAGTCATGGGGGCAGCGTCCAGCAGCAGCAGCTCGAACAAAGGGCCACCAGGACTGATACCTGTAAGTATCTAACCTACAGGTGTCACACACAACACCAAAGACACTTTCTGGCCCCTGAGATTATTTGAAATTTTTATGATTACTTGCTGAATTGAGTTTTTTATCACAATTTTTAGGGACAATATATTACTTCAGAAACTATAATTTGCGCCACGAATGCAAGCATAATACAACAAAAATAAAATCAAAACTTCTAAAATCAAAGTAAAGCATTTTTTCAATTTCATTAAAAAGCATTCGTCAAGAAAATAAATGGCAGAATTAAGACATATTTAGTCTTTAAAGCAGAGAGGAAAGGTCCAAGAATATTTAGTGTTCTTGGACTCGCTTCAGCTAAAACGTCATAGTGCTACAAAGGAAATGTAAATAATCACTCCACTATTGCTAAGAAAATCTACAAGCAATCAAAACTGGGGCTCAAAATATGTTTTTCATTTATTTCATATAATTGAATTGAAATTTTATTGAATTGTAAGTCAATATTAGTCATAATCTTACTGGCATACAGATTTGTTTTACAGTTTGAGGTACAGCTTGTTAAAAAGACAGTAGACAACATGTTTGCATTGTTAATTCTTTAAACTTTTCCCCCCAGGTTTCTGCTGTTCCTTTAGAGATCATAGAGGAGATCTTTCATAATCTACCTTATGGTCAGGTGATACGTCATTGTGGTGTAGTGTGTAAACAGTGGAAAGAAGTGGCTGACAGTGAGTCTTTGTGGAGGGAGCGCTGTAGAAGAGAGGGACTGGTGCCTCGCGACGTGGCCAGGTGTGACTGGAGAAAGTTTTACGTGTTGAGCAAAAAGAGGAGAAATTTGCTGAAGAACCCCATTGCAGAAGGTAAGTGCGCTCCATTCTTGTGTTTTGTATTACTACACGTTATACCTTGTCCTAATAGGGGAACTAGACATGGGCATTCATGAGTGCCTTCAGCAGTAACCAAAAGTACAGAAACAAGTACAATTGATTTATAACAGTTTTTAGACCTTTGAACCATAAAACTTACTGCAACTCAATAAAGACTGACTTAGTTCATATGTATTTCTCATCATGAGTCAGTCCATAACAATTGGACCAGGGCCTCCGGCTCCACCATGTCTGATTTGGACACAATTTTTAATGGTTATTTACCAAATTACAGTTATCTAGCCCTAGTCTGTCCCAAGCTGGTGAAAAGTTGTAGGGACTTTATTTTTATTAAAAAAATTTAATGCATTGTTTTGAGCAGAGAGAGCTTGTTAGATTACATAGAATTTGCCATTTCCTGTTTCCTGTTAGTGCTATATCACAGGTGTTAAACACAAGGTTGACTGACTTACAGCATTGATGGGAAAAGGTTCCTCATTTTAAAGCTATGTTTTGCGAGAAGAAAAACACATACTGGTAATTAAATGTATTCTAAAATTTAGAAATAGTTAAATACATAAAACTAATTTTGGCCACACACTTCAATTACAAGCTTTCGTTATCTTTCAGTTTTGAGTCAATCCAAACAACTAGTTACTGAAACATCCAAACTTATGCGAACACATACAAATATATATACCTTGACATACCTTGAAGTAAACGGAATACTGTATATGAAAAGTTTCAATCTGGCTTCAAATCCCTACACAGCACGGAGACGGCCCTGTTAAAACTTTTTAACAGTTGATTCTGGTGATCCTGCTGTGCTTGTGTTCCTTTACTTTATTGCAGCCTTTGACACTGTTGATCATAACATTTGAATATCTCGTCTGGAACAATCTGTTGACCTTAAAGGCACAGTTCTACAATGGTTCAAGTCCTATTTGGAGGACAGGTCCTTCTCTGTACGTCTGGGGCCTCACTCCTCTAGTACGGCTCCTCTCACCTGTGGAGTTCCACAAGGCTCGGTTTTAGGTCCTGTTTAGTTTTCACTGTATATTTTACCCCTTGGAAGCGTGTTTATGAAGTACAAAATCCCCTTCTACTGCTTTGCAGATGATCTGCAGATATACTTGCCCATAAATCAGGCAGCACTCCTGCCCTGCTGCAGTGTCTCCAAGATGTTAAAATATGATTATCCCTTAACTTTCTCAAACTTAATGAAAGTAAAACAGAAATTGTTGTTTGGCAATTCCAATTCTTCTGGATCCACCGATGATGTCCTGGGCCCATTAGCTCCACACTCTGACTTTGGTTAAGAATCTTGGTGTTCTAAATGGACAGCTTCTTTAAGCTGGACAAACAAATAACTTCTGTTGATGAAAACCAGCTATCTTCAACTGAGAGTCCTTAGCAAAGTGAAAGCTTCTTTTCCCTTTGATAAGTACATGTGTGTCGTGCACATGTTCATACCGTCTCGACTATTGTAATTCTTTTTACTGTGGTCTAGACCAGTCATCTCTTAACCGTTTGCAGCTCTTGCAGAATTCGGCTGCTTGTTTGCTGACAGGGACCAGGCGTAGAGAACACATCACACCTGTTCTGTCGTCTCTGCACTGGCTCAGCTATCGTTTTGACTTTAAAATACTGCTTCTGGTTTTTAAATGTCTAAATGGTCTGGCCCCAGCTTAACTGTCCGAGTTGCTGTCAGAGACGTGACCAGGCTTTCTCGGTAGCTGCTCCTAAACTCTGGAACAGCCTCCCCTTGTCTATTCGAAGTGCAGCTTCTTTAAATGTTTTTGAATCTTTATTAAAGACTTGACTTTGGTCTTTGGCAACTAAGAAACGTTGCACTGTTGTAATATTTGTTGATCTGTTTTTACTATAGCGTTTAAAAAAATATATTTGACGTGTTATACCATGCAGCACTTTGAGCAGCGTTTATTGTTGTAAATGTGCTATAGAAATAAATTTGACATTGACAATATCATTCTTGTCAGAATACCTTCATAATGTACAAACATGTAACAACAAAAGGAGCTTCAATCAATCTTTCCACTAAGACAACCACAGATTTTTCTCTTCTCATTTACAGAAGAGTTTAAGTTCTGGCAAATCGTATCAAATGGAGGTAATCTGTGGAAGATCGAGGATCCTATGACGCCGCATCCAAATGAAAATGTCCGGAAAAACTTTGTGACTTCTTACAGGTGGGTATTTTTAGGTGTGCATTGTCTAAATTAAAGTGGATAAATTGAATAGTTTTTCAATTACTTTAGCATGTGCTTGAAATCACAAGAGATTAATTTGAAAACGGAAGGTTACAATGCATTACTTATGGACAAGTTTCAACCCGCAATCAAAGTATCAGACTGGTAAGTTACAATATTTTTAAAGCAAAACAATCTTCTAAAAAGGTGTATTGTGACTGATGATGTATTGTGTTGATTCGGGCAGGTACTCTGCCCGCTGGGATTGTGCATGCGAATATAAAATCAAAGTGGAGTTGCTAAATGAGAAAAAAAAATGTATTCAGACATTTGAACCAGAAGCGGTTTACTTGGAACAGTGGAACGATCAGCAGTGGCATCAGGTGAGTGGAAGGTGGAATACATCTTTGTCTTGAGTCTGAACCATTTTTTCTTCGTCAGATGACTCATGTTTTCACCGACTATGGTCCAGGAGTGAGATTCGTCCGTTTTGTCCATGGAGGCCAAGACCGGCAGTTCTGGGCCGGATGGTATGGAGTTCGGGTAACTGACAGCTGTGTAGAAGTTTGTCCGGATAATTAGATATTTTATTTGGGGTTCAAATTCTTTAAATGTAATTGCACTTTATCATTATTGCCTTTTTAATGTTGAGGGCTGTAGCTGTAGGGATGTAACAATAACCAAACAAAAAACTAATTATAGGAAATCACAATCTTTCCTTTTGCAGCTATGGCTAAACGAACATAGGTATCTGCGTTTGATAAAACCATAGCTTGAGATTCTGGTATTGTTACATTCCTTTGAGGCAAGTTCAAAATGCTTGTTGCTCGTCTTTCAAGTCAAATTAATTGTGGAAAATTGACATTTGCACTCCTACTCCTACCTATTATACGGTTCATTGCACTGAAAGTTAAGAAAACATTTTACCTGGCCAGATCTAATGGATTACGCCTAGGTTAATCTTGTTTATCGATTTTTAACCAGGTTATAATGCGAACTGAATGGCACCAGCCACTTTGAGAAACACTGATATGTAGTGTACAATGTAGCTTCAATGCATCTTTGTTTTCCTTTAATTGTAATGTGTATTAATGTCCTATAACAGCAGTCATATTTTCTATGTGCATGTATTGTCTCATGCAGACATTTAGTTTGACAAAATGTACAAAGGGAAAAGTATAAATGTGCATTAACCACATTCAACTAATTTACATAAAGATGCAACTTCTTACTTCCTAAAGCATAACAGTTTTCCAAAATATTGACCCAAAAATAAAGCAAATTTACTAGCTTACCCATGTAATGTGTTGATCTGCAAAATTTAATTAAATTGTACCTCAACCTGTGTCATTGTTAATGAATCAGACATGATGAACTCACTTTCAATTTGTTTATTACATAATTATATTGTTTAAGATACAACAGTACAAGATGAAACTCAAAACCAAATAGTTGATCACTAATAAGTTAGTGGTTATTTGGGTATTTACAAGGCAAGCTAATACAACTATAAAACAATGTAAATCAAAAACAATATCTAGTTTATCGACAATTAACATATTCAACTTTCTTGGAATACATGTGGACTGCGATGTGTTTCTAACCTGGCTTTAGTGAGCGCTTGTTACGGCCAGAGCTGGTGGATGTGGTAAACTTGCTGAAGCCAAAACCGATGAGTTTATTTCCATTGTAATCGTCCACTTGGTGTGTAAAAGGTTTAAGTGTATTATTCTTTTTATAGCTAAATGACGTGACCATACAACCTGTGAAACCTTTTACGTTGATTTAACCTGTTCAGATGTAAACACATGAAAAAGGCACAACATAAAATAAAAGATGTAGTTGTCCGGGGGCATGCATAATAATATTTTGCTTCTTCGTGGAATGTGCAAATCTCTTCAGTATCGGTAACTAAAGTATGGCAAGAGTGGAGTCTTTAGAGTAGCACACATTTACGTCTTTTCTTAGGTTCAGGTGGCTCCAGGGCAGCCAGTATTGCCTCATCAAACACATTCTTTAACCCTTTCTGTGGAGAGAAAATATGCACGTTCAAAGCAGCCATTCCTCAAAAGACAAATGCTTGAAATTAGTTAAGAAAAAAAATGGGTTTTCTAGAGGGAAATAAAGTTAAGTGAATAATATTTGACAAGACGTTACTAAAAAGGATATCATCTCAAAAAGTCAACTGGATTGGACAAAGTTTAAAATTCATCTTTCAAGCAAACTCCAAAACATTATATTTTCAAACATTATTTTGAGGAAAACAATTGGCACTCAGAAAATAGGCAGCACAAGTTAAAGTGTGATAGAGAGTTACAAACAAAAGGAATGTTAATCAAAGTATAAAAGAGCGTGGTTTCTGGAGTGACAGTTTAAGCAGCAGACAATCAAGAGGCAAAGTGGGAAACCAGACATCAGAACAAACAGCATTTTCTCTTTCTTTGAGTTTCAGGGGGCTCTAAAGCAGCTAGGATTGCCTCATCAAAAACGTTCTTCAAGCCTCGCTACAGAAAGAGGAAAAGACAAGACAGGCACACGCATTGTTAGGTGCAGAAGTGGCTAAATGTTAAAAGTGACAGTCAATAGAAGTTAGTTTTGTTGAGTATTGATGGATTTCAGATTTACACAACATTCTGAACACCCATGTTTAAAATGTGCACCATGTTAAAAGAGCCCACCACAAGTTATGTCCGTGTTAACACAGCAAATTGGCTCCTTCTCCCCAAGCATTGTAATAAAGAAAAATACTACTGCCTCTGCCTGGTTAGAAAAATGTACACCGACTGAATGAATGCTGGAACTCACCAAAAACGGATAATCTTAGTCACAGTAATAGTTAGCTAGTTTTCACATCGTGACAACCCTTCAATCATTTACAGTCTCTCCATGGTCCGGATCTCCATTATACAACATTTTCAACAATATTTCTTTAGAAACAAACGGCTTTTCTCTACATTAACTAAAACTTTGACTTTGGAGCAGCTCTTGCAGGACTTGGCCTCTGCACTAGTGCTGTATCAAGTTAATAAATGAATCAAATTTATAACAGTTCAACAAACGATAAGACTTAAACATTCATAATTACTGCAGAATGAAATTAAAACAATGTACGGCCAATATCTATAATAATCATTAAATTTAGCCCTACTCAGCAATGTGAGAGTCGTGCGTCTGGAGAGTGTGATGTGAGCCCCCACCATAATGAATACAGCCATAACAAGCAGTCAAACAGCTCAGAAAACAGGTCCCGTTATAAGGACAGGTGCTCATTTTGTAATAATGGTCCAAGATGGCAGCGCTGACAGTAATAGACTTTCATAATAATTTGTATGCATGCCTTTCTTATATATATATATATTTTTTTACCTTTTATTACAGTACCGGCAGTTGTTTGCGCCATATACCAAATCAAATTCCTAGCAAATACTTCTGATTCTGAATGTAGTAACCAATACAAGATGAATAGACTTATAGATTAGTAATGACAAATGTTCCCTCTGTATCCTTCCTCTGTACATGTAACATACCATTCTGGAATCTGAAATCCACCAAGTGACTCAATGGCTTGAATAAACAACTCACCTGTGTTAAGGCTGAGCACTCCACGTATTTGACGGCTTTGAGATCGCGAGCCAGTTTTTCTGCCGTCTCAGAGGTGATGGGCTTCTGTTTGTTTTTGGCAAGTTTCTCGACTGTGGAGGGGTCATCTCGTAAATCAATCTGAGTGCCAACCAAAAGGAACGGAGTCTTGGGACAGTGGTGCGTAATTTCTGGAACCCACTGAAAGACACAAAAAAATGAATTGTTATATTTAAAATTCCTAAAAGTATAGTCTATGTATGTGTAAACATGTATCAAGTCATACCTTTTCTTTAACGTTTTCAAATGAGGATGGGGACACAACAGAGAAACAGACTAAGAAAACATCAGTCTGAGGGTAGCTTAGTGGTCGTAATCTATCGTAATCCTCCTGACCTAAAAGAAAATCCCTCATTTAATTATTGTGCAATTGTACATTAGAAGGTAAAATTCAACAAAGAGAATTCTACCTGCTGTGTCAAACAAACCAAGGGTGTAGGGTTCACCCCCAATCATTACAGTTACTGCATAGTTGTCAAATACCTAGAAGAAAAGAAAAAATAAAGCCTTAATTCTAGCACTAATACATTAAAATGGCTTTATAGAAAGCAGACCACAATATACTTACAGTGGGCACATATTCAGAGGGGAATTTGTTGGTGGTATATGAAATGAGGAGGCAGGTTTTACCCACTGCTCCATCGCCGACTACTACACACTTGATGGTCTGCATTTCTGTTAAAAGACAATAAAATGTTATTATTCACATTCATTTAGCAGAGATGTGATTCGTTCCTTCATAAACCTATGTGTGTTGGTATTTAGTCCCATTTGAATGACATATTTTTTAGGCTAGCGGTAAAAATCACAACACTGCAATACTGCATCGGATTATAACGGAGAATGTGTTTGGTAATAAAACACTATCACACAGTTGACACATTTAAGCATATAGTGCTCAGTTTACATTGAAGCGTGCAAAATATACAGGCACAACAGTATAATCATTACAGCTAACGTGAAATCTTCAGAGATATGTAGCCTAGCCTGTGGCTAACTGGTTTGCTAGTCTGCTTCCGCAAACTCCATTCTTTACCAAAACCTACAAGCGCCTCGCAAATGTCAGAGTCTCCTACTACCAAGTGTAAATGTTTGCCCCTGTCCAAACACGTCAGTGGATTTCTTACGTGCTGTTTTTTCGTGGTTTCGCCCGTAATGATCTGTCTTTCCTTGGCCGGGCGTTGGCAGCAGCAGAAACTTGGGGAAGATACGGACCTTCCAACTCCAGACTCCACAGGAAGAGGTCGCATTCGAATCAGAAAAACTACATCCTTCCTTTTCCTTCCTTGTTCACCCTAATCCTTTTAATTTGCCCTGGTGACAATACATTTGAACTAAGTAGCATTAAAATATCTTTAAATGTTGTGAATTTGACTTGATCAAACATAGAGCTAAACCGAATCAAGGACAGGGGATGATATGAAATGATGAATTCGAACAGTTGCAAGAACCGGAAATGGCCAGAATATCCCCTTTGATTGCAACTCCTCTGATGCAGCTACGTCTATACTACTGTCTATATACACAAGAGATCAGATGTGTTTATTGGTTATCTATCCAATGCAACAAAAATCCGAAATGTTTTGTTCGGCAGTCACTTCCTTCTTACTACCTAAACTCTTTGCCTTGTCTACACCAAGTTCCATTCCTGGACAATATATATATACTTTTGTGTATCGTTTTTATGTAGCCTTTTGGTAGCCTAAAAGGGTGTATGTGATGAGGCTGGTTTAAGCCTCTCGCTTGTTATAGTTCATTTTAACTGTACATAAAAGACTGATCCTGTTTATGCCAAATGTATTCAGAATAAGAATAATTTGTATTGCCATGTAAGTAACAGGAAGTCATAGACTAGGAAATTGCTTTGCCTCTCGGTGCGAACAAGTGAAAAATAGAAAAAGAATAAGGCATAATAAAATATTTCTAAAATATTAAACATTATAAAGTAAAATCATTACGATTATTACTATATACAAGTGTACTTAGTGCAAACAGTATATACAATAAGCAGTGCAAAACATGCACATTTCTACTTTGTGAGATCAATAAAGTTGTCACATGTTATAAATACTAATTCTATTTGTGTACATTTTAATATAATTTTCGAAATATAGAACCGGTTTGTGTATTTATTATTATCTCTCGAGTTATCACTTCAGTCAGTGTGCAGAGAGCTGAAAGCTACATTCCTACTCTATTCCACCATCACTGCATATATTGAACTAAGTATAAGAAAGCAATGCACCCTGAAAGGAATTGTGTTTACCAAGTACAACTTATAAGCTATTTATTCACATACTATAAATATTATTCAGAGATAGTCCTTGTACTTCAGCAGAAACCATGCAGTACAGCAGATGGCGCTAAAGACCAGAATTAGGTCTACAAAAAAATGACTGGTCCAACAGCCACCCAAACTGAATGTAATGCCATTGACGACACATTCATAGCTGTAGTTTTTCTCATGCAGAGTGGGCTTGATCCGTTTTTAAAAGGAAAACATCCTGTGTTTTGAAAAAACACTTGCGGTGTCTTTTATAAGTATTTTCATTCATTATTTGGGAAAGGCTGCCAGAGGAACTACCTGGATTTCGTTTTAAAAATCTATTCAAAGAAGGGAATGGATATCTCTGCATTGATACTGGCAACTTGGTCCATTAGAACAACTACCATAAAACTACAGAATTATAATGATAAAGTATGGATAGCTCCCTCAATGCTGATGCCTAAATAAGAAATACCTCCTTCTAGTACCACATGTTTATTATATAAAATACAAGATCATATAAGATTATGATATCTTAACAACCATTGAACAATAAAAATATAAAACATACTGTAGACAAACACATGATTTAACATACAAGATCCATGACAACTGCATGTCTCTATGAAGAAATGATTATTCTCAACCATTAAACCATTACTAAAAAAGTAATTTGAAGTCACTTGTAAAAACCTATGTTCCTATGTTGCAATAATAATTCACTCTCAGCTGCTGCCCTTCTCCTCTTTTGGTTCAGATTTTGCAGATCCATTTTGTTCAGGGACTGACTCTTCCACCATGGCTGACTTTCTCTGAGTTCCTGCATAGAAACAAAGTGGTAATTATGGTTGAAATAATATTGCTACGTATGTCTAACAGTTCGCGGATTGTGTGAATTACCCGTCAAGTAGTTTCTGTGCATCCGGTGGAAAAACAGCAATCCAATAAACACAATAAAGCCAAGGCAAGCAATAATCACCCCACAAAGCAAGAAACTGTAGCTGCCTTCAGTTTGAATAATCTGTAAGAAAAATAAGATTAAAAGGGCTCCGATTATCTCCAGTTTTTTTTATTGTCATCTTAAGGTACGTACTTGGCCAACAAGAACCTGCATGACCATCTCCCCCATGCCAGCACTAGTAACTAAGACAGAAGTGGCACATCCTATAAAAAAAAGAGGTTTTCAAATTAAAGTATGTTGTAATTTTCTCATTTGAATTACAGGCAAAAGCATGTGCTAAAAAGTGATGAGGAAATTAATCAATCAATCAATCACACCTGTCCTAGAACATTCTAAATGAAATTATTTTTATGTAAGAGTGGCGGTGGTGTCACATACTTTATGGAGGATAGATATAGCGTGGAACGTGTAGACAAGCTGGTAATGCACTCTTCACTAGACTAGTTGCATATTTCAGTTTGTGTTATGTTACAAATAACGAGATTTTGAAGAAGTTTTCCCTTTCAAAAGATAGCACAGTTCAATTAAAACGTAATGGTTTGATGAAGATTTTCCTAATTTATGGTGAGAAAATAGGATTGAGAAGTAGATTGATGGGATGAAATGTATACTGGTTATTTTCTGTCCTCACAATGCAGGATTACAAGAGCTGCAGAAAGTTTTGCACTCAGTATAAATAAGAATTGGACATGAAATATAACAAGAGTAACATCAAGTTTGTCCGGAGCAAGGAGGACTCCAAAGTGCCACTGAGCATCACAGAGGAATGCCAATATCTGGGCCATTACATGTCTGCTTACTTGTCTGATGAGACTGGGACATTTACAGACAGGGCTGAATGCTTTATGGAGTCAAAATGAACCCGTGATACCTTGATAATCCAGAATGTCCTCTGTGTAGGCGAGCATACAGGGGAAGATACTGCTGAGGAAAAGCCCACACAAACAGGTGCCAACAAACAGAAAGATATTGCTGGTGTAGAATATGAGCAGCATGAGCACCGTCACTATAGCACCAGCCTGGAAGAGAAAAACAAACTGCTGAGCTCCAAGTGTTTGTGAGTGTGTGCATGCATAAATGACTTTACCAAGTTAAATATCAGCAATCGCACTGGCTGGAAACGGTAGGAGAGAGGAATAGATAGCAGGCGTCCACCTGTGATGGCGGCCCAGAAAATACTGGCCAGGTAACCTGCGATCTTGTGTGGGATGTACATGGGTGGACTGACGGCATAGGTGTACACAAAGCCAGCATATGCCCCCTGCAAAAAACACATTTTAATTCAATTCAACTTAAAGGAACAATATGTTAAAAACTGGCCAAAAGTGGTACTGCAGTCACAGTTAATATTTTGTTTTATTTGGACATTTGAGATAAAAAACACAAAACAAAATAAAAGCAATGTAATTATAGATTATCCAAAATAAATAAGCATCTGATGTCCAAAATAGGAGAATGGATGTTGGAACATGTTTCTTCAGCGTATCAACATCAGGGTTTGCTCCAGAGGATTCAGGGTTGAATCCACCCCCAGGGATTCAGGACCCTTCAATTTTATTCATTCCCTATTTTTTAGACAAAAATGTATAAGTCCCACATCAAAAAGAGACTAACATTATTTTAATTGGGGTACATGTGGTCTTAAATTATTCTTTTTACAATTAAGCTATAATCTGCAAAAAAACGTCTTGACCTTCGTCTTTTACCGTTTTTTGAACAGTCTGTCATAGAATGTGATAACATGCAATTAAATACAAAAAGACTCTACCCAGATTCGAACCCGGGTTTCTGCTTCGTGAGCGCGTAGTTTTAACCACTAGATCACTGACTTGCGCGGTTAGACTAGCTCTAAAGAACGGAATCAAACCAGCAAATTTTGCATCACACGTAAACTTATCAGCTGTCTCAATTGTTCAAAGGCGTCCCGATATAAATCCTTGTTTTAGTCTTTGTTTTGTCGTTAATTATTTGAGAGTCATAACAAGACCTTTTTTAGTTCTGCGCCACATGTTATTTTACCTCTGAGATTAATGAGCCGCGCGGAGTTCTGGCAACCCGATCACGGACTTACATGACACTTCCTGATTAGCGAAACGGCGGAGGGTAGGACATCAAAATCAAAACAATAACAACTTTTACGGCTCGTAAAACTAATTTTGATATTCAAATATCTCAGCTGAACTACTGTTATCAGTTAAAGATGTATTCGAAAAGATGCAAATTTAAACAGAATAAAATATCACCTCAATTCACCTCACTAGTCTGCATATAACAAAAATAAGTCTGCTTATTATTCAAAAACCTGAAAACCCTGCATGTTTAGATCCCTCATGGATAATGCATGTGATTTTCATCTTTTTTTGGCCAGAAGAAAAATCAAGGTTACTTACCACAATGCCATCCGTCATAAAAAGAACCAGTCCACCCAGAATATGAATCATGAAGAAAGACACAGGCAAACCACGCAGGTTATCATTCTGACAGCAGCTGAAGATATCCCCGTGACCTGTTCCAATGCAGAAGTCGGAAATGACAAATGATGGGCCTTTTGCATTTAAATAGAGATAAAAACAGGCAGATTTCTGTGCAAATAAATGTTGGTGTGACCCACCTCCTGTGTGCTCTGCGGGCTCTGTGGACGCCTGGCCTTGCTGGTTTTCCATGGCCAGTTCATCTTTGTCCAGAAGACGAGGAGTTCCACCGGGGCAAAAGGGGATCAGCTGCTCCCGATACATAAGGTACAAGACAGCCAGAGGTACAGGCAGCTAAAAGGGCACCAATTTACAACCCATTAGTTAGCATCTTTCCGCTAATTGACGCATTTACCTGCCTGGATCTTCTCATTAAATCAAGTTTAATTGAAATTCCTATGCGGTTTTGCACTTCGCACTTTTTAATTGAGTGGGGTCAAGTATGTCCCTAGATACTGACTTCAGACTTATTTGACAATTTCTGGTGCTAGATTCTTGTAATACTGATATTAAAAGTCACTTGTATGAGTTTTTAAGACTAATAATATGCAGCCCTTTAGAAGCCCTTTAGAAGAAGTTATTGTAATATCTATCTATTTTTCCATAAATTATACATTGTGTTTGTCCCAAAAGAAAGAGTAATTTTTTTGTGAACAAATCAGTCCAAAACATGCAGTCTTTCATACTTATAAGACGGACCTTTGTGAGTCATTGCTTGAGGGTATGGGCTGAGAGCTGATTGGCCAAATGAGGGTGGTCCTTATCATTGAGACTATTCCTTTTTTCTGCCCAAAAAAGCTGATCTAAAGATGGGACGATGCCAAAACTACATGCATGTGAAAATGCAGGTATTTCAAAACTCTCTCAAAATTCTTTTGAAAGACCTATATACAGGTGATGTACCTAACATACTTAGTTAGGTACCTGAGCTTTAAGCAACAGATTTGTGTTTCATACTTTCACATTCATACATGTGATTATTTATGTGTGATTGTTTATTTTCCTGTTTTGTTAAGCACTTTGAGTTACCTTGTGCATGAGCTGTACTATACAGTGCCTTGCGCAAGTATTCGGCCCCCTTGAACCTTTCAACATTTCGCCACATTTCAGGCTTCAAACATAAAGATATAACATTTACAAATATTGTCATGAATCAACAAGTGGGACACAATCGTGAAGTGGAACGAAATGTATTGGATAATTTAAACTTTTTTAACAAAGAAAAAACTGAAAAGTGGGGCGTGCAATATTATTTGGCCCCTTTACTTTCAGTGCAGCAAACTCACTCCAGAAGTTCAGTGAGGATCTTTGAATGATCCAATTTTGTCCTAAATGACTGATGATGATAAATAGAATGCACCTGTGTGTAATCAAGTCTCCGTATAAATGCACCTGCTCTTTGATAGTCTCAGGGTTCTGTTTAAAGCGCAGAGAGAACCATGAAGACAAAGGAACACACCAGGCAGGTCCGAGATACTGTTGTGGAGAAGTTTAAAGCCGGATTTGGATACAAAAAGATTTCCCAAGCTTTAAACATCTCAAGAAGCACTGTGCAAGCAATTATATTGAAATGGAAGGAGTATCAGACCACTGCAAATCTACCAAGGCCGTCCCTCCAAACTTTCATCTCAAACAAGGAGAAGACTGATCAGAGATGCAGCCAAGAGGCCCATGATCACTCTGGATGAACTGCAGATAACTACAGCTGAGGTGTGAGAGTCTGTCCATAGGACAACAATCAGTCGTGCACTGCACAAATCTGGCCTTTATGGAAGAGTGGCAAGTTTGCCACAAGCCACCTGGGAGACACACCAAACATGTGGAAGAAGGTGCTCTGGTCAGATGAAACCAAAATCGAACTTTTTGGCCACAATGCAAAACGATATGTTTGGCGTAAAAGCAACACAGCTCATCACCCTGAACACACCATCCCCACTGTCAAACATGGTGGTGGCAGCATCATGGTTTGGGCCTGCTTTTCTTCAGCAGGGACAGGGAAGATGGCTAAAATTGATGGGAAGATGGATGGGGCCAAATACAGTACCATTCTGGAAGAAAAACCTGTTGGAGTCTGCAAAAGACCTGAGACTGGGACGGAGATTTATCTTCCAACAGGACAATGATCCAAAACATAAAGCCAAATCTACAATGGAATGGTTCACAAATAGACGTATCCAGGTGTTAGAATGGCCAAGTCAAAGTCCAGACCTGAATCCAATCGAGAATCTGTGGAAAGAGCTGAAGACAGCTGCTCACAAACGCTCTCCATTCAACCTCACTGAGCTCGAGCTGTTTTGCAAGGAAGAATGGGCAAGAATTCCAGTCTCTCAATGTGCAAAACTGATAGAGACATACCCCAAGCGACTTGCAGCTGTAATTGCAGCAAAAAGTGGCGCTACAAAGTATTAGCGCAAGGGGGCCGAATAATATTGCACACCCCACTTTTCAGTTTTTTATTTGTTAAAAAAGTTTAAATTATCCAATAAATTTTGTTCCACTTTACGATTGTGTCCCACTTGTTGATTGTTGACAAAAAATTTAATTTTTATATCTTTATGTTTGAAGCCTGAAATGTGGCAAAATGTTGAAAGGTTCAAGGGGGCGAATACTTTCGCAAGGCACTGTACATATAAACATGCTTTTCTTTTCCATTTAATTTTGTTTCATCAATGTGCAATAGATAGATATTGTACCTTTTCAAAAAGTGGAAATAATGTGCAAGTAATTCCAACCCTAAACTTAGATTTTTTGTTGTTGATTTTCTCATCTCATTTCTGTTAGCTTTAGTAAGCAAGTCCTCTTTAATTAGCACTATTCAGACAGCCGCAAAGACAGTTACAAATGTGTTTAAAGTTTAAATCGTTCACAGTGGAGGTATAAGCCACTACTGTAACCACCGCTGGCCTGGAGTGCCACAAGACCCTCCAACCACCACCAACCATTCTCTCACACTACAGACTCATTTTTGGTTTATTTAGAGCCAAATCCCCCAGGATAATAATCAGAGAGTCCGGGTATAAACGCTCCATACACAGTACTTGCTCTGCGAGTGCGCGCTGAGCCTCGCGCGCGTCCGCGCATGGCGGTATGTAAACAGAGGCAAGAATGAATGAAACAATTTCGCGCGGGGAGTAATATGGTTTACAATGAATGAAAAGATATTCCAGAGCAGGAGAGCAGTGCTTGGAGATCACTGTCACATCGTTACACCAGAGCAAGTACTGTGTATGGAGCGTTTATACCCGGACTCTCTGATTATTATCCTGGGGGATTTTAATAAGGGAAACTTGAGCCAGGAATTACCCAAATACAGACAGTTTATCAAATGCCCGACCAGAGAGGAGAACACTCTGGATCACTGTTACACCACCGTGCGCGGAGCTTTTCGCGCTGTTCCCAAGCCAGCCCTCGGCTTCTCAGATCACTCCATGATACATCTGGTTCCTGCTTACAGACAGAGACTAAAGCTCTCGAAACCTGCAATGAGGAGCTCCAAAGTGTGGTCTGATGAAGCTGTGGAAGAGCTGCGCGCATGCATGGAATCTACAGACTGGGACCTTTTCAGAGCTGCCACAGATAGTTTGGATGAATATACGGACACTGTGACGTCATACATTCACTTCTGTGAGGATAGCATCATTCCAACAAGGACCAGGGTCATCTATAACAACGACAAACCCTGGTTCACTGCTAAACTCCGGCAGCTCAGGAAAGCAAAGGAGTCTGCTTTCAGGGAGGGGGACCGCAGCGGCTACAAAGCAGCTAAATATCAGTTCAGGAGAGAACTGAAAGCAGCCAAGTCCCGGCACAAAGAACGACTACAGGAGCAGTTTGGTAACAACGATACTGCTTCTGTCTGGAGGGGCCTAACGGGAGATCACCAACTACAAACCCAAAGCCCCCCCCTGTGCTGACGACCACAAGCTAGCTGACGATCTGAACTTATTTTTCAGTCGCTTTGATGCTGCCCCTGACACCTCTCCCTCCCCCACCCCCCACTACTCTAACGACCCACCCATCAGCCCTGCCCCCAGCCTAACAATAGCCGCTAAAGAGATTAAACAACTCTTCCTGAGGCTGCACCCCCGCAAAGCTACTGGCCCGGACCACGTGTCTCCGGCCACTCTGAGACACTGCGCCAGTGAGCTTACTCCTGTGTTCACGGACATTTTCAACACCTCTCTGCAGTCCTGCCATGTCCCGGCCTGCTTCAAATCCTCCATCATTGTCCCCGTCCCGAAGAAGCCCAGGATCACAGGACTCAATGACTACAGACCTGTAGCACTTACGTCTGTCGTCATGAAGTCATTTGAACGCCTGGTTCTCTCCCATCTCAAGTCCCTCACCTCCCCCCTCCTGGACCCCCTGCAGTTCGCCTACAGAGCCAACAGATCTGTAGACGACGCCATTAACCTGGCCCTCCACCACATCCTACAGCACCTGGACTCCCCGGGGACCTACGCCAGGGTCCTGTTCGTGGACTTCAGCTCTGCCTTCAACACAATCCTGCCATCCCTGCTCCAGGACAAGCTCTCCCAGCTCAACGTGCCCTATTCCACCTGCAGGTGGATCACTGACTTCCTGACGGACAGGAAGCAGCGAGTGCGTCTGGGGAAGAATGTCTCGGACTCTCGGATTATAAATACAGGAGCCCCACAGGGCTGTGTTCTTTCTCCCCTGCTCTTCTCCCTGTACACCAACCACTGCACCTCCAGCCACGACTCCGTGAAGCTGATCAAGTTCGCGGACGACACCACCCTCATTGGACTCATCTCCAACAACGATGAGTCCGCCTACAGGAGGGAGGTGGACCGGCTGGTGTCCTGGTGCAGTGGTAACAACCTGGAGCTGAACGCCCAGAAGACAGTGGAGATGATTGTGGACTTCAGGAAGAGCACTGTCCCCCCACCCCCACCCTCCGTGATGGACTCCCTCATCACCTCTGTGGAGTCCTTCCGTTTCCTGGGCACCACCATCACCCAGGACCTCAAGTGGGAGCCGACCATCAGCTCCCTCATCAAGAAGGCCCAGCAGAGGATGTACTTCCTGCGGCAGCTCAGGAAAGCCAAGCTGCCTGCACAGATGTTGGTGCAGTTCTACACGGCCATCATCGAGTCCATCCTCACCTCCTCCGTCACCGTGTGGTTCGCTGGAGCCACAGTCAGGGACAAACAGAGACTACAGCGCATTGTGCGCTCTGCAGAGGAAGTGATCGGCCGCAGCCTTCCATCGCTGCAGGACCTGTACGTCGCCCGAGCTCGAGGCCGGGCTGGTTGTATCACAGCCGACCCCTCTCACCCTGCACATGGACTATTCCAACCACTCCCCTCAGGCAGGAGACTGCGGTCCATCAGGACTAGAACCTCCCGCCACAAGAACAGTTTCTTCCCCTCTGCTGTTGGACTCTTGAACACTTCTTAACCTGTCCCCCCGCCCTTTATAAAGTCACTTTACTGCCCATCATACGTCACTTTACTTCACTGTACTGCTGTCACCTTACATTGTGTGCACCATGTGCACTTGTATATTGTAAATAGTAACTGTAACTCTATTTTAAATTTAAATTTATTCTTTAGAAGTGTTTTTTATTCTTATTTTTATTATCTCTTTTTGACTGTTGCACTGAGCCAAAGCAATTTCCTAGTCTGTGACCTCCTGTTACCTACGTGGCAATAAAAATGATTCTGATTCTGATTATCGCTTATCTGGCATTCGAGTGTCCCATTCTATAATTAACTAGGCCCTGCAGTGCTGACCACATTTTATTATAATATTGTAATTTATAAAGATCGCTAATATCTCTAGCTTGACCAAGACATTGCTTACATTTATGAGCGCCATGATCCAGAAAGCGTACTGCACACTGGACTCCTCTTCAGCGTGAGGATGCGGTGTGCTCTGATTGATGTTGTGTTCTGCAATGGGACTGTGCCTCAGCATGTTCCTAAAGTGATGTATCATCTCCGTCTGGTTCCCTGTGTGGTTCCCGCAGCCTGTCTCAGAGAGGAAAGGATCGGCAATCAGTGGGCTCACCAGGGCTCCGAACCCGATGAAGAAGTGGAGAGCCTGGGAGAGGAGAAAGAGGCGTTTAACTTTACCAAACTTTTACCCCCCCCAAAAAACCTGCTGACCACCGAGTTTGTACAGCTTCTTCATTTCGGAGTCATTTATATGTTAATGCCTTGTCTGGATAACTGCTGACACAAACTTACCTGGAGAAAAACAGCTGAATCTTTCTGATAGATGGTAACGAGCTGTATATTAGCGATGGTGTCAATGATGCCCATGGCCAATCCAGAAACAGCCATAGCAATAGCCAGCACAAGCACATTATTGCACCAGGGGATGATGGCGAAGATTATCGAGATGATGAGAGCCGAGACAAACAAAGCTGAGAGCGCACTCAGCAACCTTGAAGGGTAAAAATCATATTACAGTAATGCATTTTCTTTGGCACATATGGCGTAGGTATGCTGAAGTGTAGCTTATGAACTTACGTCCTCTTGAAAACCCCTCCGACAGAGCTGCCGATCAACAAACAAAACTGCTGGGCAAAGAAGACCCAGGTAATCTGACTCAGCGTGGAGTTAGTTTGACATTGCAAGTCCAAAATAGTAGGTCCAAGAAATGCTATGCACAGTCCAAAGCTGAAGAAAACACTCCAGTAAGTCAGCGTGTGATGGGCATTCCTTTTGAACAGCGTTACTATCCGCTCATCCACAAACATCTTGTGCGTGGCAGGGTATTCTGCAGGCTTAAACTAAAATTGTAGACTTGTGTTGTAATGATTTTGGTCTTTTAAAGCTTTACATCATTCCCACCTCTGTTTCATTGCACAACAGAAAAGGATGTCCTCTTTAGTTAATGGGTGAAGTGCACATCTCTCTTACATAAACACAGGAGGTGTCAATGATTTGTATTGAAAAAATATCCTCATTTGAGATATGTTCAAATGTGGGGGAATGAGTCACTCAACGTAACACACAGGGACAGTATTGTACATTAGGGCAGGGTTTCTCGACCAGAGTACGAACAAAGATGAGATGGTTTGAAACATAGTTTTATGTTCAGGCACTTCGGACATCAGCATCGGTACAAACAATATATATTTTTTGCAGTTTACTAAAGAGACAGGGTGGGGCCACTGCATTACGGTGTGAGATATTCAGAACAGCGTGAATCAGTGGAAGAGTTTCAAAAGTCATTGTTCATTTAGCCACCCACTGTGTATTTGATTAATTGGATTGTATGCATCTGACAAAATACAATAGTTTTAAAATGTATTCAAAGATGAGAAGTTATCCTATCAAAAATCCTAGGAAGCAACATACAGTATATTTATGTCATTTTCTATTTTGGCTAAAATGTAGTAAATGCAGTGGGGCGGAGTTATGTTGTAGTATTTGGTCATCATGGTAAAGGTTTTAACTTGATTCGGTTTTTCTTACTATACTATAGTAGTTGTCATATAGGAAGGTTTTTGTTGTCTCACTCAATAGATATATATAACCTTGACGTTAAGGCGTATATATGCTCCACGAATCAGTCAAAAGGCAATTGAGATTTTTCTGACAAACATTGCAAGTGTGATTAGATTGAAGAGATTTAGGATTTAACGAGTGCACATTTACTTAAAAATCAACTCTCAAAATGATATTGACGTTGTTATGTTTTGCACCGACAAGATATTCTGCTGTTTACCCTGTGTAGTTTAATCAAGGAAACAAGGCATTTCTCACCTAAAATTATCAAAAAAGGCTGCTGTACATGATATTAGACAAGTCCCAGTGAAATCAGGGTAATTGAGGCTTAATAAATTCACTTTTAATCACTTTTTCTCTGAGTAGTACACACAGGACTTAAATTGCAGCTTTTGCGATTTCCAAATAGCAACTTATTGAATTGCAATTTTGATTTGATTGTGATTACGGTAATCCTGTGGGCCTATAGCAGACTCTTTTGATTAGTTGTATCAAAACTCTGCATCATGGGGCACAAAGACGTGAATGCTTTAACTAGTAATATGTGTATCACTCTTTCATCATCTTAAAATAGTATTCCGCCTGCATAAGAAAAACCACTTATAAATCTCTCCTTGGCGTAACTGATTATCAAAAATCTCAAACTCTGTTCAGGTGACCTTCCAGTAACAGGCTTTGGGAAGCTTTTGTGTTTGTACAAAAGACATTCATTAACTTGCATCTCCTCCACACTTCCTCCACTTCAAATATGGTCAAAAAGTGAGTTCTTTGGGTAATTGTCAACTAACACGATTGTCAAGCGTGTGCACACAGCTGTTAAAATTCAACATTTTGGACATGGACAGGAAGTGAGTTTGATGCAATACAGCTTGTCTTTTTCTTGTGTAACAAATGCGATATTCCAGTGTAAACAGAATCCAATAGGTTGCGTTCATGTGACATCACAACATTTTAGCCTATAGTTTATCTAAAATTGCGGTGGAAGGCAGCTGAAAAACCAGGTAACTATGTTAACACCCATAAATCAGACGTTTAATCTCAGTTTAAAAATATATCTCAGTCATTCCAAGTCAAATCCACATGAAACAAAAAACTGACAACGTTCCGCATTTTCTTTGTCAGCACACATTACCTATGGTCTATTTTTTATTATCTCATAAAAAGGTGTGTAAAAGTGCTGACAATGCAACCATATGCGTGATGTCTGCTGGTAGAAAAGCCTTTCAGATATAAAATAATTATGTAGAGGTGAAGATGTTTCCTTATTGATGGCCTTGTATAGGTACCTGCCCTCAAACTGAATCAGAATTCTACAACATAAACGCAACTTTGTCATAAGCCTGTATTTTGATCATAAGGGAAAATATGCAAAGCTATTCCGAGCATATTTCTTTTGATATAATAATATAATTCTTTCAACACCTACCATTTCATTGTAACGATAGATATTGCCATCTGATAATCCACTCTTTCGGGACTGTCAAAATCCACCTGCGACTCACTCATAGCAAAACAACAGCTGTATTTCAAAATGCGGCATTGAGCAGAACCTCTATGAATAATTATGGTAAATAAACATCTCTCCTGATTCAACACTATTTATATTTACTTGTAGAATTGCTTTGGTTTGTTGATGAAAGCCACACAGAAGGGCATCACATCAGGTGGCGATCGGAAAGAGGACATGGCAGTTTTGCTGCGTTGCTTCCTCTGTGTCTCATCTCCATAGCCTGACATTTAGCCAACTCTCGACACAGGGCAGTGCCAGGAATGTGATGGGAATTATAATTTCATTGCTCTATTTTCTCTCGCGGCCTGTGGTGCACTTTCACATCATTTTATCTGCAGTGTGTAAAAAGTCAGGCAACGAAAGACCCGAGTGCATGTCAATGAAGACGCACTGATGACACTCATACCAATGTGCTCGTCTGGAATACTAGCATTAGAAATAAAGTTGAACAAGTAGTAATATTAGAGTAGTGGTATGTTAACACTCACACAGTAGTGGTGACACACACGAATAGAACATGGTTTAATAAGTAATTCATATTATTTTGTGTTCAATATGGTATTCAATTCAATTTGATTCCATTTATTTTTGTATAGCCTAAATCATATCAGTTGTGTCAGTGAACATGACTCAGTTGTTGATTCACAAACAACAGATCAAAGAATCAAACACAGGAAATGCAATAATAACAAATACATAAGAGCCATTGCTCGATAAGGAGCGGGATGAACACTGTCAGGAAAAGTTTTAAAATGAATTTAAACGTCCTGGATCACTACTGTTTTAATAATAAGTAAATAAAAAAGCCAGTCGGAAAAAAGTGAAAAAAAGAAAATATGTATGATGATTGTAAAACAAAATGGCAGGTCAGATCTGTGGAGAGAAGTATTATTTATATCATGATGAGAAAAAGATAAATGCCTTGTATTGTTGTAATAGCAGGTAAATCTTTTGAGATACACAGCACATATGCTAATTTGTTGGAGATAATGTTCTATATGAAATGGTAATGCCATTCCAATGTGTCCCTATGTTACTTAATGAAAAGGATTTGTCCTTGAGAATACATTTTTCATGGAGAGCTTATCTAATAATTGGAAACAGAAAATGTATTCACGATTCTATAATGCCATAATAAACATTATCCATTTTTCATCACTATGAAACACCACTGAGATCTATGATTTGTGAATTATTCATGTTCTTTGTAATTAAATTGTGTTTGGTGTGATCTGTGCTGCTGTCTTAGCCAGAATCCCATTAAATTATCAACATTACTTTCCTGGTTAAAAACAAAACACAAAAAATACTGCATATGACACTGCCTTTTTCTTATCAAATCTAATTACACATTTAATACTACATCCAAGTTTTTTGGCGGGTTATAGCCAAATTATGCCAAAAATAATTCAAGATATTTTTATTTTGATATTTTGCTTGCATAATTATCCCAGAACATCCCCTCCTCCTCCACCAGACAAAGACAACAAAAAAAACAATTGGAAAAGGAAAAACTGCTGGCTTCACGCCCACAGACAGAGAGCCTGTAGAAGTGTCCAGGACTGACGCACACTGAATCTGTAGAGTCAGAGTCCAGTCAAGACGCAAGGATTGAGGGCTCATGCAGCAAAGGGAGAGAACATTGGAACAGAGACCCCAAAATCATAATGGCCCGAGGGATACACAAGAGCGCAATAACAAAGAGAAGGTTATGCTCGCTCTTAACCTTGGTGGAACTGAGCTAGCACAGGCTTAATGAAAAGGAGCTATAGGAGAGTGAATGTTATCAGGTGCTATTGAAGTAAGATTAAATTAATATTGGGATGAATGGCTTGCATCCAAAACGCAATTACTGTTTTTTTTTTTCTTTTCAATCAGTGCGTTGTTGTGCAGCATATACATATTTATGAAAGCATTCTTTCCACACAGTGTTTAATTTAACTTAATTAATTGCTTTGAGCTGACAAATAAACAACTTTTTCTTTTCTCAATCTGTGTGCACTTGGTCTCATTGGTGTGGGAAAGTGAATGGCAATGCCCACGGGTCCGGGCCCCCTCCTGCATCTCCCGCAGGCCAAGAATAGAGCTGGGGATATGTGGTATGCAAACAGACATGTACCGATATTCTCTGAGCTTCAGTTCATTTGATGTAGCAGCACATGAGAGAGGGCCTAATACAAGAACGTGAGCATTTGGTGACTGCTGAAAGAGAAATATGTAATGATAGAATTGCACTAAACAATAAACTTTGAATAAAAGTTTCAAAGGGCAGTAAATAAGGTTGACACCCATGTAAAGCAGAGCTGAGAAAAGTGCGACCCGGGGGCCACATCCGGCCCGATTCACATTTCTATGCGGCCCTTGGACCCCTCCCAGCCGTTAACCAGTCTCTTGCTCATTTAACTGAATCAGGAGTCAATACTCAATGAAGGCTTGTAAGGCTTGTAACTTGCTATGTGATATACTATGTTCTAATTATTGAACCCAAAAGGTTATTAGTAGGGCTGGGACTTTAATACGTTAATTAATTACACAAAGCGCGTACATTTTTTTAACGCATTTGTGTTGTTTCTGTAAATACTTGAAGGCTGGCGTCGCGGTACTCCGGCGGGTAGCCATAGTTGGTCAGTGCCGCTAGCTCGTAAGTCTCGTAAGCCCGCGGTGCCTGCCGGAGATCACAGGCAGGCCCCGCGGGTCTGGATCTCTTTCGTCCTTGTACCCTCCATCCCGCATGGCAGCCTCGGGGTGTTCTCCGTAGAATCTCCGCAGGAATAGTTTGCAGCGCCAGCAGCTGGTCCCGGTTGTAAACAATGGGAGCGCACCGGCTCATCTCCGTTCACAGGTATAATCCACATTTATGATGAGGAAAACGGTGGAAAAACACGGCGTGTATCATTTCCTAAGTGGGCACTAGCTTCACACGGCTGTATTATAACGCAGTTACAGAAAAAATAAAAATAAGTATGCTAAAAAGTAAGAAAAGTGGGAAGGAGAGGGGGAGCGATGGGGATGGAACTCTGCAGTTGGCTCCCGCCCGCGCATGCGTAATATCAGTATGTATTACTTCTCATTGTTCTCAGGTGAAATATTTATATGCAATTAATTAATTACAAAGCCTCTAATTAATTAGAATAATCTTTTTAAATCGAGTCCCAGCACTAGTTATTAGTAATAATTTGCTCCAAACGAAATGTCCACAAATGAAAGAAATAATGGATATAAAGCAATCAATCAATATATATATATATATATATTTTAATACTGAAGTCGCTTTTTGCTAAGGTAAATACAAAAATAACCACGTGATAATGGGTCTGACCTTCCACAAAATCCCGATGTGGCCCTGCGAAGAAAATAACTGCCCACCCCTGATCTAAAGATTTCAATGATTAACAGATTTTCCAAAGCTCATCTGCCTGTGTCACATCTGGAGCCTGTGAGGATAATAGCGTCTGTCGTGTGACCTTCAATCAAAGGCTTACAAATGAGTCGCTTCAATCTTTGATCAGTGTTTGAAAAGATGATTCTTCAGGATTATCACAGAAGCAGCGTTCAAGTTTGGGGCTAGATGTTATTATGTCATTACCTAATCAATAATGTATATATGTAAATATTGGGTGTCTGCTTTTTCATAGGTACAGGGGCACTCACTGTAAAAGCAACAGAAATATTGTGTGTAAATTAATCAAAGTCAATAATAATAAGTCAGACTGAGTGGAGAATGTTGTTTGAGTGATGAAGATATTCAGGATTTCTAGTGTCATACGGACCTAACCCGTTGGAGTTTGTATTAAATATTTCATTCTTAGTAAAGTTTTGCTGACATTTTGCGTATGCCATGAATACGAAATAGTTATACTGCTTACTTTTAAAAGTGTGTGCCTTTTCAGCAATAAATGCCATTATTGAATAAATATGTTTAATTCCAAACTGAAGAGAAAGAATGCATAAAGGCAAGGTACAATCCAAACTTTCCAAACCCTAAAAATATTATGATGTAATAATGAATGATGTAAAACACATTTAACTGGTGCCTAGTTTTCACGACAGTTGTCCCATGCATATATTGTTGACCTCTGTCACATCTTTAGGTGAAAAAGACAGGACCATCCTCACTCAGCCAACCAGGGTTAAATAGTGACTCCCAGGACTAGTATGGTATAGTCGAACGATACACAAATGCTTACTTTAACAACACTCTTTCTGTTGGAACAAACAAAGTGGATTATTCAGAATACACAAACAGTTAAGTACCCCAGCTTCAACATCTGTTTGGGAATCTGATTTTCTATTTAACTAAGTAAAGAATGCTGATGGAGGCGAAAACTCAATCGTGCAAGAATCTCTAAACAACTTTGAGCAGATAATATAGATACATGTGGAGGAAAAATAATAATGTAGCTCTCAAAAGTCAATTTAGCAAAATCCCCTTTTGTCGTCAAAGTATTTCCCTGTATGTGTATGTAGCTGCAGCTGATAGAAGAATAGTCTAAAGTGTGAATGGTTGACTCACAAGTTAAATTAAAACAAGCACAACTGGGATTAGCCTGACACTGGGGTGGATTTCCTGAGGCGGATGTGACATAGCCTCTCATTGAGAAACAGAGCAGCGTGCCCATTTTCCATGGATGATGTGGCTTGTCAGTACATCAGCGCAGATCATCCCTTGAATGCTATGATAGAGTGCTCGACCTCAGTGGATGTAGTGAGACGTGAATTAAAAAAAACAAAAAACTCCAACAAAGCATCTTTACAGGGCCGATTCTGCGCTGCAAAATATACGAGCTTGCTTTGTTCTCGGCGAAGGATTCCTGTCAAAGCCGGAGACAGGCCAACTCATGCATATACAACTGTCAAGTAATGCATGTTTGTACACACAGGCATACAGCGCCTGCACAATGGAGATTTATTCCTCTCGATCATACGCTGTCTGTCCCCGTCCTCCTCCCCCCTTTGCCTCTCAGTTGAAGAGAGAGCAGTGATGCGTGCCTTAGTGAAACCTGGTGAATAGTAATGAACTGTGGCTGTGTCTATTTGAAGGAAAGGCAAGAAGAGGCAAGGAGGGGTGCAGGGGGAAAGAGGAAAAATGGCTTCTTTTGTAGCACTGATACAAGTCTGTGTGTCATTCAAGGTGGGCTCAAATAGCTTTTGTCTTGTGCTAGCTAAATATCTCATGTGGCATTTTGAAGACATGGGGGCACCTGCAGTCTTGTAATTGATATTTTAATGATTACAGAATGTGTGGGGGAAGGGGGAAGAGCGAGGCTATTGATTGGTTGCATGTTTGCATGGGCTGTGCAGTTAATTTGAATTTAATCACAACCAAATCGGATTATTTCCACAAATCAATAAACAGAAGGAGGTATTTTTAAATAAGAGGTATACACAGCCAATCAGTATGTAAAATCATTTTGTTTGGGGCAGAGTTCGAACCTGAGAGGAATGATAATGTGATCAGAATTTTCTCCTGTAAATCTACCTGGAATATTTTTACATTCTAGAAATTCTAATTGAAAGATATGTTAGAAAATATATACAACACATATACAATTCTGTTTATTCAACCAGAGAGGGCATTTTTTTGGTTTTGACTGTCCATAAGTTTCCATCATACAGTATGCAACATTGAGAGGACCTGTTCTAAACTATATGAAATAGATTTTTAATAATTCTGGAACCTTTAGATATCCCAATAGAAACTCCACCAATAGCATACCTCATATTAGTGCTTAGACCTTGATTTTCAAAATTGAACCTGCCCCAATCACTAATATTTTACAGTATAGACCTCATATGTTGTGATGCCATCCAAAGAACATAAACAAAAACAGTGTCTTTTCATGGCTTGTTTGTAGTTACCTCATTATACAGCAGCTCATTCTTGAAGGCGTTCAGAGCCACAGGAGGGAGAGGTCGTGGGGGAGAGGAGAGCGGGAGGCAGAGGGGGGGGGGGGGGGGGGGGGGGTGTTTGTAGAGGAAATGGACCAAACGTGGAGACTGGAGAGACGGCACCTGCTGTCTTCATCACTAAACAAGCATCTCTCCTCGGAACAGCTGGACAAAGAAACAAAGTCTTCAGGATAGTGTGTTGATTGCAATGTAAAACTGATGGCATAGTTGTGGATAGTTTTTGATAGATAGGCTGTAAAAGTGCTTGGATATTCAGCAAGTGCATGTGTAAAGATCAACTGGAGTGCCACGCAGGAATGAAAGGAAGCAGACCAACACAATAGTTCACCCCCTACCTTAGCCCCTCTTTTATCCCCTCCATCCAAAAGCTTCATGGGCACACTGCCAAGTTTGAATCTTAAGAACTCATTCAAAGAAAAACCCAAAAGAAAAGGGCTTGTTTCAAACCAGGATTGATTCTCTCTCGCATTTTCTTTTTAAACATTTCCCATGTGAAGGGATTTTTTTGCTTGCTGTTCTCTTGTGACATTGCATCTGAGCTTTTAGGGGAGAGAGAGAGAGAGAGAGAGAAGGTGTTGGTGGTGGTGTGGGGTGCGTATTAGTAGAATTGCCATTCATGTAACGTTTCTTCAGATTCACAGTTTGGGTGTGCAAGTGTGATCCCCCACCTCTCCTCTCCCTCTCTCTTTTCTCCATTCTGCTTTTGCTCCCTCCGTCCGTCCACATAGTAACTCCACCCCCCGCTATCCATTGTCTTGCTTCCATACAGTACAGCCAAGAGGGGATGCCGTATACTACTCGCACTGGCTGAGGGGACGAGGGAGAGCAAGAAGGTAAGAGTTAAACATTTACAGCATTTTGGGATGTTTTAGGACCACCACATCTGTGCCAGTCCTTACCTGTTTTCCTTCACTATAGCTACTACAGAGCTGCTTGTATAGGTGTTGTGTTGATTACTGCATAGTGAAAGTATCTAGATGCCTTTTGTGCCTCACCCGCATAACATTACTATCAATTCAACTTTATTTTTCCATCAGATACAATATGATATCTAATCTAATCCTGACATATGTAATCCAGATATTTTTAATTGGCTTTCATCAAAAAGGACCATGTACAGGGATTACAGCTAATCCTCCCCGTGGCTGAGATTCACCTTCTTGTCTGGACTCAGTCTGACTCCAGGCATCACTAATTTATGCTGGGACATGCGTGAGGCTGCCTGGAGCGCTGGTGCTGAGAGCTGTTTTCCCACCTGAAAACACTGCTTGATTACACCTCATTGGTCAGATTATAGCACGGGCAAATGGAAATGTGAAAGGTCACAACGTTTTAATAGAGGGCCTAAAATCTAAATTGAGACATGGATGCAAGTAAGTTTAAATAGAATGGTGACATTTGCTGGGGGGATATTGGCATGTAACAAAAACTGGCAAGAAGTTCTGTGTTTATTCTAACACAAAAGAAGGTTACAGTTTCTGAATAGAGGCGGAAAAATTCCGATGCTGGGAAGGGGGATATAGTGGATGTGGTAAAATAAAAAAATACTTTATGTTTTGGGATGATCCTTCAAACCGATATTGGACTTTCTAATTGAGGTATATGCATATAGTTTGTTAGCAGTTCGAGTTGTGTCTATTGTGGTGAAGTTCTAAAAAGTAGTGTTAAAAAAGAGGCAGAGATTCTTAACCAACTTGAAACAGGTGCATAAAAGATGGTTGTCCTGTGGGCCGCTGTGGCACTGTAGCACAGGGAGCTTTGTGTTCGAAAAATGGAGACAGTCTCAATGGGGCTTTTGTTGTGTAGAATCGGAGAAAGCAAAAGCACAAGAAACACTGACTGACAAATACCTGCCCCTGTGAGCCTCAAATACCACAGCAATGCACTTGATACAATGTCAACAAATGCCCCCTCTGTCTTCCAAAGCACACCGAATCCTCTCAGTTGGCAGGATTTTTTGTGTTTTCATAAAGGCTACTGGTTTTGTAGGTGGACATCTGGTAAAACAACATCAATATGGTGAGCTTCTGTGTTCACTGTGTCAAAATCAGGAGTGGGGAAGTACTTTCAAAATTGTTCTTGGATATAGGCATATTACGTTTAGCTCTCTGCAATTAATCAGCCATTTTGATGATAAGGTGGTTGTATAATAAAGGGGGTTTAGTCCTTGGTCAAGGTGGTTTAGCGTCCAGACATTGGGGGATAAAGTTTTGTTTTGGCTTCAATAAATGAAATTAGATTTTTTTTGTACAACTATTCACTGCTTAGTTTTAGGGGGGAAAAGAAAGGATTAAATCACTTGATCACATGACTGGAATGTCAAGTCGATTGCAAGAGCACCGTAGCTTACTTATCATTCTGACTTTTCAACAGGTTTTAAAGCTTGGGTACCTAACTTTTTTCCATAAACAACACATGTTGGTTGTCCAAACAGAAATAGTCTTGTAAAATTAAATCAGACCACAACATGCTGTCTCCATCTTATATTTTGCATAATTGTAAGAAAGAGCTCTGTCACTATTTGACACTTTGGGCTGAGAGCTATTGACTGAGTGTTGGCCGCTCCTTTTGACTTTTCTGTCTAAAAAAGCTGATCAAAAGATGTGACAGAGGCCTAAGAAAACAGTGTGTAAAAATAGTGTTAGAATAAAACAATTATATAGTAAAAACATTTATTTTTATTAAGGTTATGAAGCCAAGCTTTAGATAGATAGATACTTTATTGATCCCAAAGGAAATTGTGCTTTGGTCCCTTGCTCGCAATCATGCAAACATTGGATAGAGTTAAAAGATAAAAACATATATAAATTCTATCAATCTTACTAAAGCAAAGTGTTGTAAAGCTGTTATGTTAGTTTGCAGACATTATCCCAGTTATGCGTAACTTTAAGAATACTCATTACTTTAAACCTTCACCCAACATCTAATCGCTTAAATCAGTGGAGAGTATTCAGTTACTTTCCTTCCTTTTCATCGAGGCAGCATCTTTTACTCTCCACACCCAATAATTGATTCAGAAATGAAGATGCATGGCCACACACTGTTTTGTTTGCAGAAATGTTAGCTAACTAAATAGGCTTTGAAACTTTCTGTGCCCAGCGGAGGCATTAAACTGCTGAGGCGACGTTCCTCTTTGTGTTTGGAAAAGTTAGCCAAAGAGTGCAATGCAGGCTGTCGGCTACAACACAGAGAACAATCCGTTTTTCAATATCCACGAGTGAGCTGACTGACACTGTGACCCGGATCATTCAACTTTACCGTGAACTTGTTTTGAAAAGCTACAGTTAATTCCAGGGCACTGCTGTTTATTATAGTCTAACCAGTGTTTGCTGCACAGGCTGAATACAAAGTGAAGCCGCAGTTGTGTCGTATGGCTTTCTATTCCTATGTGAGTTCTTTCTGGTATTTCATGTAGGGTTCAAAGCCATGTGACACACAGTGGGCAGACACCAGAGCCTGTATTCAAATTATAATGGAGATTCTTTCACCAGCTTCTGATCACAGTATCAAGAACATCCATCCATTTTCTTCCAATTTATCTGTTGCTGGGTTGTAGGGGCCAGACTTCCCTATTCACACACACTTCTCCAGCTCATGCAGGGCACACTAAACAAACATATACAGCTTATATGTTATTCCTATGCCCAGTGTTTTCCCGCATGTTTAAACTATATAAAGGGGAGTTCCAGAAGCAATCCTCACTTGTACTATTTTCTACTGTAGTCTATGCTTATTTGAGATTGTGATAATGGGGACAAAGTTTGAACATTTGGTCCACCCTTGTCTTCTTTATCAATAATTTTGGCTAATTTACTAATTTGTTTTGACAAGAGTGAGAATGGCATTAAAAGTAAAGTAGTAGGCCAAAGACAAACTTTTTTTTATTGTTTTTAACTTTTTTTCCTTCAGCAATAAATTGAAACCTTGCAAAATGTGGTAATAAATACAATTTCACCAAGTGTGGCCCATTCATATAATAATGCATGTATAATATGCTAATTTATACTGGATGCGTGTGTGTTGTAGGCTCATATACTCACCTGAAGATGCAGGAAGGAAGGTTCATGATGAGCCCACGATTCAATGAGACCGTCAGCCAAATGGAAAGGTATGCTCTGTCAATGTTGTATAAATGCAGGAATGTTTTAGCTGAGAAAATGAGGGAGGTCAATTCCATGCAGCGTTTCCTATCGAGAGGTGCGAGGGTGGTTATTTTTATTGTTAACATGCAAACATTCCTACAATGGCATGTTGTACACAAATCTAAAGCGAATTATCCCAAGCAGCAACCATTTGAAGCAATGGATAAAAATAATAAGTCTATCAGTATGCAATAACAAGACTTCAGTTCATGTTGGCTACATGGCTGGGTTTTTTTTCCACAAAACAGGTCAATACAAATCCATCCATCCACGCTTTATCCATTGCCAGGGCGCCCAGATTTCATATCTACACAAATACATCCATGATCTACACACACTTGGTCCAGCTCATCCGGTGCAATCCCAAGCGTTGCCAGGCCAGCGGAGAGATGGAGGTATCACCTCCCCAGGGAGGCGTCCAAGATCAAAAAATGGGTCAAAAAACCTCATCTAATAATAATACTGTAATAAAAAATATATAAACGAGTGCAAAATTTGAGCTATAAATAAAACGATGGAGGCCTGGGAAGGAAAGTTATTTCCCGCTGCACTGCGCAAGGTTAGCACGGGCTACAGGTGAACGTCAACGCTGGAGACGATCAGAGACTAAGAGACGATACATAATTCTGGGAAATAGGAACATGTATTCATTTGTGAAAGGCAATTTAAGTTTGGGCTACTATGAAATGAGCCCAGACTCACAGCAACATCGTATATGCCTGAGGAGAGGAAGTAAAGTCACCACCAAAGCCATCTGTCCATCAGCTCGTCAGCTGCAGCTGTTCTGCCGCCATAGCACAGAGAAAGCTCTCTCACAGCTTCACGCACACTACAGACAACTTAGCTCGCTCTTATTTACACTTCCGACACTAAGAGGGATGCCGGTTTTTGTGGAGGACCCGTCACAACTCTCCAAAGCGAGGCTAAAGTCGGATTTAATCGCCCACAATGTAGCGCTGCCACCTGCGCACAGCAGAAAGGGAACGTACGTGGATCTCCACGAGAGGCACGTGCACCAGAACACACACGCAGACTTCTCCAGCGACGAAGAGCTGGAAGCAGACGTGAGTATCATGACATAGTGTTACAGCAATATACTCCGTTATAATGGTCCAAACCACTCATTTATATCCAGAAAATAGTTGTACCTATTATTAAAATATACAATCTATTTTATTTGTATAGCGCAGGGGTTTCAAAACTAAGGTCCAAGGACCAAATGCGGCCCGCAGTGTCCTCTCATGTAACCCTCTGCACTGCTAACCATTGAAACTTACTGTCATCCAGCTAACTTCAGCTCCACCGATATAGTCGTGGTATACCTGGTTGTAATTCTCAGAACCTTTTGGAATCCATTTGTTGTCACAAAATTGTGCATGTTGCACATTAAATCATGAAATGGTCTCAATATTGAGCTAAAATGAACCCAAAATATTATTAATTATATAATTAATAGAAATAGAAGGTCGAATTTGTTGTGTCTCGCTAACATACTTGCATATGTGGTTGCTGAGCATAATACTTATACTGGCCAATTATGTGCCAAACTGGTTCCAGAAAGGGTCGCTGTGGCTGTAGGTTTTCATTCCAACTAAGCAGGAGCACACCAGACCCCACCCATTTCCTTACGTGAGCCCAGTCTTACATGAGTTATGAGGAAATGGAAGGTATGGCATAAGGAGACCACACCGATACCCCTTAATTGTGTATTTTATTTTGAGCTAATAAGATAATCACTGTAATGGTCTTTACATAAATAACTATTCCACAAAATCAGTCATAAATCCAGAAAATCCCTGGAGAGATAACCGAGCATTCCAAGCAAAATATGGTAACTAAAATCATTATAAAGTAAAGTGGAATATACTTTACTTTGTCTTTAAAGGAGACATCATACACAATGGACTTTTCTGATGTTTTAACAATGTTACAGACCATGTTACGGTAAAAGACCTACAACTATCAGCAACTTCTGATACACAAGTATAACTCTGGCCCATCTGTGTAAAAGCTCTTGTCTCTGTCCTGTAATCGTACCATTGTGACATCACACAGAGCCGTTTTATGCCTTTTTTAAAACTAAAGTATTGCCCATAAAATAGTTATTTACAACCCTTTGGCTATGTTTGCGACTGGTGATATCCAAATGTTGGAGAAAAAATTCAATACTTTTCCTCCCTCTGGTGGTAGCTATGGTAGTTACAACCGGAAAGTATTTTTTACCATTCAGACTTTTGTTTACTAAAGATAATATTTCACATTCTAAAACATGAAAAGGCAACGTAAATGGTAAAATTTAAAAAGTCTTATAATGTTAATGGCCAGAAATTATGCATAATTTGTACTATTGATGAAGTGATACTTAGCTCTTCATTGGCTGCCAGTGTCCCACAGGATACATTTTAAAATTCTGGTTTTAACCTTCAGAGCTTTGCTCGGTCATGATCCGTCTTATATCAGTGACCTGATCCAGTCTTACACCCCAGCCAGGGCTCTCAGGACTGTAGATCAGAACCTCCTGATGGTTCCATGCACTCGCTTCATGACCAAAGGAGACAAGTCCTTCCAGGCTGTCGCTCCCAAGCTTTGGAACGTTCTCCCGCTCTCTCTGCGTTTCTATTTAGTGCTTCAAAAGTCAACTTAAAACACATTTATTTGTTCAGGCTTTTGCATCATTTTGTCTTGTTGTTTTTAACATGGTTGTCTTGGCCTTTAAAAATGTGTATGTCTATTTTATACTATGTCTGTTTTTATACTATGTGAAGCGCTTTGAGATAAGAATTCCTTTATTCGTCCCTTTATTGTAACCCTGGTCTGTGAAGGGCGCTATATAAATAGTTTACTTACTTACAATGGACATCTAGATCTTGCCTTTTTTTATTTATTTTTTAACACAACCAAGCCCTAGTTAGAGATATAATAAATGGTCTGAAATCTGGGTCACTCGCTTCAAACAGCTCCTCAGCTTTCTCTGGTCCGTGCGTTGAGGTCACTGGGCTAACAGCTGTATGGTTGGTATATATTTGCACATGCTCCAGTCCCCAGTTACCAGTTGCACTTGCCGTGTGCCTGCCTTGCATTAGACAGTAGGACACCTGTCACATGCATTTACGCAAACCTGATTATTCATATCTTTTGTGATATGCAGGAAAACACAGCTGATGATTGAGCTGACCTGTATAATCATTTATCTTCCTAACCTTTGTATTCATTGTATTTGCTTAGAATAAGACCACTTGCATTACCAGGTGTTTTATTCATGATTTTGATTACTAATTCCCTAAATAATATGGGTGGCTTTGTTTTGAAATGTGGTCATAAAAGGCCCCCACTGTGTATACTCGCTCAAGGGTTTTTCTCAAGCAGTGGCTGTGTTTTGGCAGCACAAAACTGGGTTGTTTTCTGGGTTTTTATGTTGCTTTCCCACTGCGTATCAACTAGAAATGTTATAAGTTACATTGAATACAGTTTCTTTGAGCATTTTGTGTTTTTTCATATTAATTGCCATTTTTGTTTTCAATTAATGCTAACCTGGCCTGTAGTTTTAACATTTAAGTGTTTTGGATTGGTGCTCTAAAAATGGCACCCAGTCCTATATTGAGTCAAATTTGATCAACAATGAATCAAAACGTAAACGGTATCAACATTTGAAAAATAACAGATGAATTGTATATCAGAAAATAAGGTAAGAAAAGATGAGATGGGAGAACCTTCATTCGCCTCACAGTGGGGATGGTTTGGTGTGCTGAAAAATACAGTAAATTACTTTAACAAAATGGAACTGGTTTAAGGCATTATTTGAACCAGATCTCCTTGAGTTGTGTTATGGGATGGTTCTGGAATAACCAAATATCTTTGTTTTAAAGGATGAGGTGTCGAAAGAGGCAAAAATATTGGACCCTAGCAGTTTGACAGACGACGGCCTGATCTCTGCTCTTCTGCAACATGGGGTGAAAGCAGGACCTGTCGTTGGTGAGGTTATTATGAACACGGATCTCTGATGAAAGACAAAGTGCATGTGTTGGTGGTGCTAATGTCGCTGTGTTCTCTCCAGCCTCCACGAGGGCTGTGTATGAACGTAAACTCCGAAACCTGCTTTTGTCCAATGGCCGCGGCGATGTGACCGATGAAGCAAATGGGGCAGATGAAGCTGCGCTGTATTCGGACAGCGAGGATGATGAGGAGGAGGAGGAGGAGGAGGAGGAAGAGCAGGAAAAGCCAGGTGCCAGTACACACTATGCTTTTATTGATCCGTTTTAAGGACAGAACACCACACGAATGACTGTGTCACTATCAAACCTCTCAGTCCAAAGAGGCATATCGTGACATATCGTCTTTTGCATCAGCATGTCACAAAGTAAATTTAAGTTAATATTCATTTATAAAATGCAGTACTTGGTTAATACTAGAAAAGAGGATTGGGTATTTAGCAAATGCTACTAATACAAATTCCTAAAGGGTTCCGGGCTCAGGCTTTTATCTCAGAGGATGTGGAATTCTCATATAAAAGGAAAGATAACACATTCATAGACTTTGAATTTACTTTTGTTTTTATACTTAAACATACTTTTATCTTTGTGAATTCCAATGCAGTCACTGAAGAGGTCCAAACCCAGACAGAACCAGCTGAACAGACTCTTCAGGACACACAGGTGGGGCCATGGTGCAATGTAACTGTAACTTAATCCTTTGCATTTCCTCTGTAGCGCCTTCTAGTGGACACAATCTGTACACACTTCTTTTACAGGAGTTGTCTTCTCACAGTGAAGACCGTGTTTACCCCCAGTGCTTTTTAGTGTCGTCAAGGCTGGTAAATAATCTGCGAAGCTTGATTTGTCCTTGTACATTTTTGTATGATTATTTCTGTCCTGGCTTGGGTATTTTTTTCCAGCGTTTCTGTGCTACTAAAAACAGCCAACCTCGTTACAAGCGGAATCCAAGGAATGTGTTAAAATCATCGCAGCAGAGTCGATCTCAGATTGCCTCCGGCTTTAGCAGAGCGTCCGTTATAGATCAGCCCTCAGGATTAGCAACAGCGGTACGCAGCTCCCTGTTGGATTTACATTTTCTGCATTCCTTGCCTACTACATGAACAAAATAGAGGTGGGCGATATATAAACTCGATTTTGAAAATGACCCGAGACAACCTTTCCGCTTGAGGGCAGATCCTGAACCTAAGAATGATATTGTGAAAACTGATTATTAAACTAATTCATGTCACTGATGCAATAATTCTTAAAACGGATAATCCCGTAAATCTCTGTATAATTTAAAAACATGAACTGTTAATGCAAAACAGCTGACAGAACCAATAACTAACATTAACACTTCTTGAAATTATTACATAGCTCAAATTTGTTTGTTTTTAAAATTAAAACTTTCCTTTATTGCCCATCCCTATTAAAGTTATAATAGTTTACGTTATGAAAACGATAAAGAAAAGTTGTTGTTTTTGTCTTTTATTTACAGTCAATGTCAAAACAACGGTCAGGTCTCTCCAACGGCTCTACCCCGAGCTTCAGTATCGCACAAATGGTGGAAGAGGAAAGTCACTCAACCCCGAAACGCACTTCTTTCCCTTTTCCAAAACCTTTTATTCCTTGACACCTTTTTTTTGTTGCTCATTCTGACAACAGATTGAGAGTCGGACCCCGTGCTCGTCCCCCGCAGGCGCCTCTCCAGAGTTTAACCAGAGCGTTGTGCAAAGCCATTGGTCACGGTCCAACGGGGTCAGTAGTGGCACTGTGCAGTCACTCAGTAGCCAATTCAGTTAAAGTGTTAGAAAGATTTCCTGGGATCACGGGCGGAGCTGGGAAATGTGTTGTCAAGTTTCGAAGCTGCTATTGCCAGAAGAAAATGTAGATTTTTAAATATTGTAGACAAACGTTAAGTGAAATAAAAAAACACAGGCCAAGCTTGCGTTTCCACAAGTTATGGGTTATCGACTACTAGGCATAGCGATCAATGCAATATTAAATAAACTCTATTATGTGACCAACTTTATTCAATCAAGCCTTCCTTAATATTCAATTCCCTTTTAGACATTTTGTTACCTTTTTGCCTTACGGAAAATGCCGGGCTGCAGTTTGAGGGTACAGAATAAAGCATGAATAATGCATATATACATTTGCAGCCTTCAAGTAACTGTGCACTGTCATAAATTAGCATCATATTATTGTCATTGCATGCATTTCTAACCATACAACCCGTTGCTTTCTCCATTCAGCCTGTGGTCAAGAAGCCATTGGAAGACAAGTATAATTCTCATGACTCTCAGTTCTACACTCCTAAAGCTGGCGCGCATGAATGGACACAGAAGGCACAATTTTTATGCAATTAACGTCACTATTGGCTTTGGTGCTGTTTGATTTTCTTTTCCTTCCTTTTTCACTTGCATAAAAAGGTGTTTGTTATTGCTTCTCTCCACTGGAACATGAGATATCCGGTGCCTAGCGCTTCACCATTTCTTGCTGGTCTGAAGTACTGTGTTCACCACCAGAGGGCACTATTGGACCTGTGCTTTTTGTCAGAATTTGGTGTCATAATTCCAGATAGTGCAAGAGCCTATGTAGCTTTGGAGGATCTCTTTTTGAACTAATCCCTTTTCAATTTCTTCCACACACTTGTCATGTTAATTTTATAGCTAGAAGTCCTTTCAACTGGCTGAAAATTACAGCTTAAGTTGAAGGCGATGAGACCACTCCCAGAAGCTTTTTTTGTGTGTGTGCCATTTTCTATTTACCCTCATTGCTACACGTGTGGTCACAGGTGATTGGTGTAGGAACCATAAGATGTCCTTAACATGTTTCTATCATGTTTGTTTTGTTTTTCAGGAACCTGTTGAAGAGCCGGTTCAAGAAAGATTTAAGGAGTTGTTAGCTGACACACCAACAGGAATATAGTATGTGATTGTATACCTATTTTTTTCCAGTTGTAGAGCAGCCGAAAATGTGAAGGGGAAAAAAAAGTTACTGTTTGTTTCTGGTCTCTAAAGTATACATGATCTGGGGAAAAGACTTGGCCTCTGTAACAAACAATAATCAAAATATACAAATAAGCGTTCACAATTTACATGAAAAATCCAAAATATTAAGTTTATATTTTAAAGCATTAGTGTGTAAGTTATTGTATGCCTATTTGATTGAACTAAATAAAATAAATGATCTATTCTAAAGTATAATTTTAAATAAATTAGTCAAATGTCTGTGATGCGCAACATATAAGGTAGTAAAAACAAATCAGATTAATGGACGCAAAGGAATAATTGATTTTGAATTTGATTGTTTCACCAAACAATGGTCAGTCAATTAAAAACAAATAAAATAATCTTAAAGACAGTTTTCAGGAGTCTTCTCTTGCCAAAGTTATGTCCAATTATCCCTCAAGCTTTTACACATGCTGAAATGCATCTAGTCTTTATAGGAATAAAGAATGGGATTTTTACTTTCATAATGGCAGGGGGGTTCATGCTAATCTGTATACTGTACATATCTACTGTATACATTTCTACTATAACTATACATGCGTGTGCTTTTGCTGTTTCAGTGCAACTCGACGCAGACCAATCAAAGGTGCAGCAGGTCGGCCTGTCCAGTACGTCTACCCTGACATCCCGCTCAGCCCCACCACACTGGAGCGACAGGAGGTGGAGAGACGCCTGGTGCCCCTCCATATCCAGATCCTGGTGTTTTTCATTGTGGCTATCATCATTTATGGCATTTATGTTTTTATGGAGGACTATTCTTTTAATCCGCTGTTGGCCTTGATAGATTTCCTTGAACCGGGATTAGACTCCGATGAGACTGGAACACAAGCGGTGGAAGAATTTTTAGAAATAGAGTAATTGTTTATATTGACCGAGAATTTGCTTTTGTCAATCTTACTATTTATATTTGTCTGTAAAATAGTAGTGTTACCGTCATTTAATATTATTGTGTGCTCATTTCAATGTTACAGAATTGTATTTATTACAATACAGCCAGGTGAAACAGCCAATTTATAACATGTCGACTTGTTCATGCTTTTTAAATGTTTCTATATATTTCTCAATAAAGTATGTTTATCTTAAATGTGTTGAACTTTCTTTTACATATTTCACAGTATAATTAAGACATTATTTTCCTCTACATTTCCCTCACCTGTTAAGATAAACAATTGTATGACATCAATATCTAGGGACCACTCTGGCACCTAGGCTTCCTAGAGGTTCCCATCACAGTTCTGACCAGGCCCTGCCCTGTTTTGCAGAGATCTGACAGGACCACATTCAGGTGGTGCCATAAATAAGGCCAGAAATGTATCTGTATGTTCTCAGGAAAAAATTGAGAATGCATTTTGATATATTTTTTTATAATATATAATACATGGTCAAAGGTTGCTATGATCAAAGCGTAATACCCAAACTCTCCAGTAGCTGTCGCTGTTTGACTCTGTTGCAGCTCGCTGACTTGACCCTCTGCTGCTGGAGCTCCACACGAGCAGACGACAGGACCCACGATGACAGACAAGGGAAAGACGCTGAGATTAGTCAAGTTTGTTAAGATCATAATTAGTGTGACGGTGCTGACCATAGTAGCACTGCTCACGGCGGCAGCTTTGCGGACTCTGTCGATGGATGTCAACGCTGGACTACAACTCGCACATTGGGAAAAGACAAATAACATTTCGTTTGCCATAGACCGGGCTCAGAGAGAGCAGCTCCTGTCAAATCTCAAAGGTAGTTCTGGGAGGTGATCACATAGACTTCTGTATTGAAAAGAATTAGCGATAATTAAAAGGAGCGTGGTGTTTTTCCCACAGAGGCGATCCGGATCCGCACCGTGTCTGTGTCTAGGACTGACATCAACACCTCTGCCCTGGTGCTCTTTGACAGCTTCCTAAGGAAAGGTAAAGTGTGTAAACAGTACGCAGTACAGCCTCCTCCTGAGCAGCAGTGAGGCAGCACACAGTTAGCACAGCAGTAGCACACTAGCGTCACCGCTCACATGACCTGATGTCAAATCTTACATGACACATGATGCGACGTCACACTTATTATTCAATGGCTTCTCTCTCTGTTACAGACCTGCTACAGAAAACTAATCAAGGAGTTTATATAAAACAGAACAAATGTATTAATTATAATTATACATTAGTTTTATATGGGGCTTATTTACACTCTAAGACAGGCATGTCCAAATTCAGGCCCGGGGGCCAAATGCGGCCCTCAGTGTGATGTTATGTGTCCCGCTGCCTTGCTAACTCCAAGCAGTCTTTGAGCTCATAAACACAAGTTTATGTCATCCATCCAACTCCGGCTCAGCCAATAGAGAGATGTCATAACTCGTTCTAAAGCCCAATGTGGAATTCAGTTGATGACTTTATTTGTACATACTGTACCGACATGTATCTTTCAGCTCTGTTATTGATTATCTTAAGAGCTCAAAACAGCCCGATGCCAGTCAAGACAGTTTTTCAGTCCGTGACGTCGGCCCCTGGACTAGTCTGGTGAACTTAAGTGGCCCTCTTACTAAAATGTTTGGACACCCCTGTCTAAGACGCGGTGGTGATAAGCTATTACTATAGCCATAGCTGCTCCCGGGCAGACTGTCAGAACAAGGCAACTAGTATATGCCAGAGGCCTCTCCAACCACTGCCAACCATTCATGCACACACCATGTTCTAGGCAACATGGGAGAAGAACACAACAGTTTGGCACATTACAGCCAAAGCTGCCCCACTGTGGAGCCTGGTGTTCCCAGAGGTCTCCCATCAAAGTACTAAGCAGGCCCTGACCTTCTTAGTTTCAGAGATCCGACAGGGTTTGGCTTTCACATGCAATTGGTACCACACATTATTCAAACATATTTTATTGAAGTTTGGAAACCTTTGGACTGATGGCTAGCTGAGTACTTATGAGTTAGCTATTTCTCTAAATATTTGATCAAGATTTGAGTACATCTTTAGAGGTGAACACTAACCCTCATGCTTTTTTAACTTAGGCAAGACATATTTATTTGTTCACTTGACACTGAAAATGTACCAATATCTGCCATGTGCTTTTAATAAATGTGTTTGTGTCTTATTCTAGTTTTCCCCCTGGTGTTCTCCTCCAGTCGAGTGAAGCATGAGCTGGTGGCAGAATACAGTCACCTCTTCTGGCTCCAGGGGTCTCGCCCTGAGCTGGAGCCCTACATACTGCTGGCTCACATCGATGTGGTCCCTGCCTCAGACACTGATGCCTGGGACCTCCCGCCATTTTCCGCGGAGGAAAAAGATGGCTTCATTTATGGCAGAGGAACTATGGACGACAAGAGCCAAGTGATGGTGAGCAAGAAAGAATAAATTATTACCTTTTGTTAATTAACTGTAAAAACTACAACTCAACATTGTTCACCTTACTAAGATTTTTGCATTCACTGACAATAAAATTGCCAGTTGGAGCTGCAACTGTCACTGTCACTTTCAGAAGTTTCTGATGAAAAGTTCATCTTATTTGATTGATAGTTGATTTTACTTTGAAGTTGTAGTGAACTTCTGAAAGTGAGTTCAAGTGGCTCACAACAGACAGTTCCAGTTCCAACTGGAAATTTTATTGTCACTGAATGCAAAAATCTGAGTAAGGTGAACAATTTTGAGTTGTCGTTTTTACAGTTCACCGAGCTCGAGTGAGGTCAACTTATCTACGTTTGCTTATTTAAATATTTGTCATGGCAACCGGCTGCATTCAACATTTTGAAAAAACTAATATGACCAAAAAAATCATTGTATTTATTTTTACCAACCGTAATCGACAGGGCCAAGCCAAAGTAGCCCTATATATTCCCTGGGTCAGTCTTAAAAACATTAGTCTTCCCACTAATCGGGTCACAGTGTGTGCGGCATGGTGGCTGAGTGGATAGCACTCTCGCTTCTTGACACGAAGGTCCTGGGTTCGAATTCTGGTCGGAACAGGTCCTTTCTGAGTGATTCAGATTCAGATTCCGTTTATTTGCCATTTGCAGTAAAAAAACCACATTGGAATACGTTAGCAAAAGTTACCAGTGTGCACAGACAAATACAGACATAAAACAACATTAAAAGTACGGAAATAAAACAAATAAAACAGTAAACAAGTGTCACTGTGAAATCGATTGGCTAAAACAGTTTCAAAAGAAGTGCAAATCATTTAAGTGCTCTGTTCACACTGATAACAGCCTGTGGAAAAAAGCTGTTAGCATAACGAGATGTCCTGCATCTCAGAGAACGATATCTTCTGCCAGAGGGAAGAAGCTGGAACATGGCTTTTCCTGGGTGGCCAGAAGAGTCATTGATAATTCTTAGAGCTCTTTTAGGAAGTCTGGATTTATAAAGAACCTCCAGAACAGGAAGCTCACAGCCCACGGTCCTCTTTGCAGAGCGGAGCACCTTGTTTAAAGCTCTCTTTTCTTGATCTGTGATGTTTCCAAACCACACAGACACAGAACCAACAAGTAAACTCTCAATGGTGCAGCGATAAAAGTTGAGCAGAATCTTAGAGTTAGTAATTTCTCTAAGGATGTATTCAGACTTGAAAAGTCCTTTGCTCCGCTTGCTTGATCCGAATCAAAAGCGGACCAAACTTTTTTCTTTTGCTCCGGTTCGTATTCAGACTGTCCTTTTTGCAAGTGAACTTTTTGTATAAACATATTGGCACGTGTGACGATCTGCGCTCCTATTGGACAGCGAGAGCTCACGGAGGATAGATGCGGAACCGGAGGAAACATTGAGGGCTCGTATGTGCAGCATGTCTGCTCTGCCTATGTTTGCTCTTTTTAGACCAAAACCACCTTCAACATGAACAGCAGCTCATATGACACAGGCCAAACACGTTGTTTTAAATATTGGAACAGCGTCGGAGAATGCGTGAGGAGAAAGCCGAAGGAGACTGTCTGTGCGCTCCGTGCCCTGTCCCACACATGGATCTATGATAATAACCCTGTTCCACAACTTACTGACAGCAGCATCGTGGATAAACCATGGATCTATAATAACCACGGGATAAACAGACGCTGAGGATCAGGTAGGAACCAAAGAACACAATTCACTACATGATGCTAAGTACAATAGTTCGAAGAGTGTGGTTATGATTTCTAAAACCAAGGAAGATAAGAACCTGACATTTCCTAACTTTTGTTTGTGTAATGATGTTTCGCATGTTGTCACCAAAATCAAGTACCTCGGGCACATCGTCACTGAGGACATGTCTGATGATGATGACATTTGCAGACAATGCAGAGTGTTGTCTGCCCAGGCTAATACCCTGGCACGGAAGTTTGGCTGTTGTACAGAGAGAGTGAAGCTAACGTTATTTAAAGCGTACTGTACTCCCTTATACACAGCTCATCTCTGGTCTCATTATAAGAAATCCAGCATGCGTAAGCTCCAGGTGGCCTATAATGATGCTTTGCGTGTGCTTTTGAAAAAGCCGAGATGGTCAAGTGCCACAGAAATGTTTGTTAATGCCAGAGTGAACACTTTACAGGCCGTGCTACGAACTTTGATGTACAGCTTTATGTGTCGATTGAAAATGTCTGAAAATGAAATAATAGTGTCTCTCACGAATATAAAATGGAGTGCGACACGGTATCAATCTGACTTGTGGAGACATTGGCATGATTGTCTTTTTAAAATGCCATTTTAATTGTTTGTCTTGTCCTTTATTTTTATTTTATTTTATTGGACTATGAGTCCGGAATAAAGTTGAATTGAATTGAATTGATGCGGAATATTGCTCTTTGAGACGTGAGTCAAACAGTGTCAGGCTTTTAATAATGCAAATGGTTTGAAGATGTTGCCATTAACATCACTGTATACTGTGAACAGTTTTAACTCCATAAGCCTGTTGCACAGCGTCTCCTCACTGCTCCAGGTCTGCACATGGCTCAGTGTTGTTGTGTAGCGTTAGCAGCATAGTTAGCATCATAGTTAGCCGCTGCGTGGCTAATTCCTCAGTTTCTGTCTGCGGCTTGTTAAGCCGAAAAAATGCGCACGTATCTTGGAGTTGTGTCGGATCGACACCGGATGTATTCAGACCTGATTCGATTTGGACCAGAATTCGTTTGGAAGCGGGCCGAGACCACCTATAAAAGTGGGTCTCGGTTCGGTTCTTTGGTCCGGACCAGGATTTGTTTGTGTGTATTCAGACCTGCATAAAAGCTTCGGATCAGAGTTCCAAACGAATCCTGGTCCGTTTGAAGTGGAGCAAATGTGCAGGTCTGAATACACCCTAAGTTTCCGCAGGAAGTAGAGACGCTGACGAGCTTTCTTAACGACGCGGTCAGTGTTTTTAACCCATTTCAGGTCGTTAGACAGAGTTAAACCCAGAAACTTGCACTCCTCTACGATCTGCACCTGGGAGTTGTCGATAACTACAGGAGGCAGATGAGAACTGTTGCGACTGAAGTCGTAGACCAGTTCACATGTTTTGGATGCGTTCAACTGGAGGTTGTTAGTTTTACTCCACTGAACCACATTTTGTATCTCTGCTCTATAAGAGGATTCATCATTGTCACTGATGAGACCGATGATGGTGGAGTCATCAGCATATTTAATGATCAGGTTCGAGTCAGAGGAAGACACACAGTGGAATTTGCATGTACAGGTTTCCTCCGGGTGCTCCGGTTTCTCTTGCCCAAGTGACCTTGGTCTGCGCTATATAAATTAACATCATGATGGTTTAATGTGGGGGCTAATTTAAACTCAAAATAGTAAGTTATTGTAGGGGACAGTAATCTGAATTTAAAAAAGTAATTTTTTATAGACTTGAAAATTCCAGTAACTTGAATTTATAAACTTAGTTGGGAGAACTTGGAAAACTTAGCTGACACAACTTAATAAGTGTAGTTCTTCAAAACGTGAAGAATTAAGTCAATGCCTTCAACTCAAAAATCCTTCGCAGCTGGTTGCTTTGAAATTTTGAGTTGAACTAACTTTTTCTTTTTTACAGTGTTCCAGCAACTGAGGTGCATCCTCAGTAAGTCTTAGTGCCAGTTCAGGGACTAGTTCAGAATAGAATAGAATACATATTTAAGGATGGGTGGAACACTTTTTACACTTTTCAAATGATAATAAACAATCATACATAGTATATAGCCATCACTACTGCCTTTGTTTAGAACGGTAAAAATAAGGCTGTCCAATGATTACTAAAATCCTAATCTGAATAATTTGTATTGCCATTGAAAGTAACAGGAAGTCACAAACTAGGATTGTGCTTTGGTGCGAACAAATTATACATATATGCGTAGATATAAAGGCATACATATAAAATCAATAACAATGCTAATATATAAAATCATTACTGGGGATTGTGGGGGAAGTGTTTAGGGTAATGTTGAATGAATTTGTGAAACCAAACCAAATTCTCAATGATTTTTCTTCCAGGCAATTCTGCAGGCGTTGGAATATTTATTGATGAAAGGCTACACCCCACAGAGAGGATTTTACATAGGCCTCGGACACGACGAAGAGGTAGAGAACGACATAAGGTGTGATTCTATAGTGATGATGGATGTGCATTTTCTGTATTGCTTACGTCCTGTAGAGGTAATCCAGGTATGAAACATCATGAAACAATGTATTGTGGTCATGTGTAATCTGGCAATGTTGAGAAGCACACAAAAGAGCAGTGGAACGACCAAAAAGCTGCTAGTAAGAAGATTATTGTCACATTATAACCAGGGAGCTGTGAATTTATTTCTTGATTATTTTTATTTTATTTATTTTGTTTGGATGGGGTAGTGTGTATTAAAGAACAACAGGAGTTGTGTAGCTAATTTCCATCTATCTCACTCCCAAACACACTCTCATTCAACCCTCACCTTTTGTACATGTTTTTAGTGGTAGAGGCAACCTACACAAACAGGGGAGAACAGACGCACTCCACACAGAAAGGTCCTGTCACAACAACGCCTCGGAAGAAATGCAACAAGAGCAAACACATAGAAGCCATTGGTCCATAGGGAATGAGTAGAACAATGCTATCAGGCACGGACTACAGTGTTCAGGAGTTAAAGCTTTGTCTCAAACCTTCCTAATGGGGCTCAGCAATATGGGGAAACTCTGGATCGCTTATCACCAAACACACACATCCACACACACACAAAAAAACAATGTATTTTTACCCTTTTTGACCGGGTCATGTTTAATTCAGGGGTTAAATGCAATCAATCTACTTAGTTCGTCCAGGGTTGATCCATCGTGGAGTTTTTTTTTTCAATTTCAGTGCCACAATTTCATACAATTCCATATATTCTATTTTAAATAATTGTTTTATTCCTGATAGGTCGGTGGTGAAAACGGGGCAATGAACATAGTCCGAGTGTTGACAAAACGTGGGGTCAAGCTGTCGTTTGTCCTGGATGAGGGCTCCGCCATACTCGACGGGATCCTCCAGGGTCTGGACGGAGCTGCTGCAGTGTAAATATAAAAATCATAATATTACTACCTTGTAATATTCATATATGGCAGAATAATAACTCTTACTTGTATTGTCAGAATTGCCACAAGTGAAAAAGGCGCCACAGTTTTAAAACTAAGTGTCTCCATGTCTCCAAGTCATGCATCCATGCCCCCACGGGAAACTACCATTGGCATCCTGGCATCTGCTGTAAAAAGGTACTTACAACATTATTTGTTTCATGTCTTGCATAGCTTTGGTTCACCCTCGAGTGATTATCTCGCTGCACTATCATCTTAACCTGACAAACCTGATTCTCAAGCTGTGAAAACAATCCTCTTTTGGCTGGTCCCTTGTTCCAATAGTTGCCACGGATAAGCACTTTGGTACACACGAAACAAATCTATTCTATAATCTCTTGAACATACACAGCCATACATACAAACTTGCCCAATAAAGTTGCAATTATTCCTCCAAACATTGTACGGTATAAGTATTGATCATTAAAAATACCTGTAAAATTGCAAACGGCATATTAACTTCACAGGCCAGAGAAAACAGAAGAAGGTGAAACTAGTATGAATATTGCCATCAATAATAAATAAAAGAAAATGATGTAAGAATGAAGCTGGATCGCTGTGTCCTGGATTGAGGAGCTTGTGTACTAAAGGATTAATTATGTTAACTAATATCAATCATACATACTGTACATACTTTTATAGTGCTTTTTTGACTCTTTACTAAAGGAAAAAATAAGAAACAGAGCTAAAATAAACAGTTACGTGAAGGCAGTTTTGAGCTGGTGGGTTTTGAGCAGTGATTTGTTTGGAGGTGATGAAACCGTGGATGAGGATTTCTGCAGTGGTTTGTGTTTTAGAGCCCTGCACCCGAATAAAGACCGTTTCACTGTTGGAAGAACCCTGTATTAAGTGTTGAGTTCTACACCTTTTTTAAGAACCTTCTTGTGATAGGTTGGAGGACAACCCTATGAAGCGGCTCTTTGGTCAGGGGCCTGAACGAGGAATGTTAGAACATCTGGCTCATAAGGTAAAAACTACAAATGAATTTGTTTGAATTGCACATTCTTTTCACCACTGATTATGTAATGTTTAGTTCAGATTCCCTTTGAATGTTGTAATGTCAAATCTGTGGTTGTTCGCACCGTTGATTGCCAGGTAATTACTCAACTCAGTCCTTCTAAAAGGCAGATCTAATATTGTTATTATAAAGCAATTGTGTAGTCAAGTAATGGAATGATTTTAATGGAAACTTATCAGAGTCATGGAAAAAAATGAAACGACCAATGCCTTTGTACGGACCACGACAGCTGTCACTATGTTTAACGCCGGAGTGAAGGTAAACTTGCACACATTTGTTTTATTGTAGCTTGCAAAGGTCTGATTGTGTTTTTTGAGCAGGACAATGTGATCGCTTCATACGCAGAAGCTTTTGTGAATTTGCGAATCCACTCAGCACATTCACTGCAAGAGGTACAACACATTCTGTGGCTGTAATAAAACAATGTAGACCGATGCTGATGTTCTAACGAGGGTCATATAGATGACTGTTTTTGTCAGTGACAGCAGAGTATACTGTACAAGTACAATAGAATCAACAGAGGGGAGGCGCCACCTCTCTTCTTTGAACTTGGAAAGTTACAGCAAATAATCAAAAGCAACACATTTGTGTGTGTGCTGTTCAAGGCTTTGGTGGTATAAAAGTCTGAGACTTTCTTTTGTAGAGGAAATAACAGGAGAGGGAAAGATGCGGCGGCATGTGAACTCCACTGGGAGGACGCCAGAAGGAAATATTAATTAATCTTAATAATAAGCTAAAAGTGAAGGTAACTTACCTCTGAATCATAAAGTTGCTCTTTCACAGCCTTACGTATCAGGACGGAAAGTATTCCACACGAACACACTGTCAAACTGTCCTGCTCTAATGCTGCTGGTGGAATCAAAATGGTCAATATGGAGTCTAGCTCTCGCAGATCAATGACAAATACATTTAATTAATTTGGATTTAAATCTGCTGCCACTATACAACCAACAATAATTGTAAAAGTTTAAAGGCCTAAAAAGTCTTTCAATTCAGTTTTGATGAGTTTAAAACTAAATGATAGGAACACATTTTAGTACTTGAAATTGATTTTATATTCTGTACATTTTGTAACGCTAATTTGACAATTGAGTGGAACGTCTTTAAAACAGTCTTAACTCATTTAAACTCAGTTGTAATTTAATAATTGATATTCATTTGCAAATTAAGCGCTTCAGAGATGTACTGGCAATCTATCAAATGTTATCGCCCCCTTAGTGCTGGTGAATGACAGTATTTTAGTAATTACCCTTCTAAGATAAATACAGTAATTTAACTTTAATTGTTTTACTCATTCCTTTAATGTCAATGTTATTAAATGTTGAAACCTGACTTCCTGATGATGACACACACAATCTGGTTCAGGTTTTGGAGTTTGTGGAGTCCACCATAGGAGACCCACGAGTTAAAATAGATGTTGTATATGGATTCGACCCATTACCCATCAGCCCTTACGACGAAATGGCTTTCGGATATCAACTCATAAAGAGAACAGTGCTGGACATGTTTCCATCTGTCACCGTTGTTCCAGGTAATTGTGGTTTGTATGTAACTTGGTCAATATTACAGCTTCTAGTATTTTTTAAATATTAATTGTTGTTGTTTTGCATTGCACAGGTTTATGTGTGGGAAATACGGACAGTCGGCACTTTAAAGACCTGAGCAGCAGCATATATCGATTTACTCCCGTCTGGTACAAACCTGGGGATGCTCAACGGTAAGACAAACATGATTTATTAATGTGTATTTTCATCTGCGCTCAGAAAAACAATTCTGTCTTATTGACAATGAAAACTGTAAATTGAAAATTTTAATTGTTATTTTCCCACTTTCGGACTAATATAAATAATATAAATAATGAATTAAAAAATAACGGTGCTAATAAATGCTTCTAGTTTTATTTGATTTTCTCTTAAAACACACAAGTCTTGTTTCACTTAAATGACGGAAATGTTGGAAATAGTGCTATAAGATAAGATAGACTTTATCGATCTCACACTGGAGAGATTTACATGTCCCATTTGGCATAGATCACTCAGATTGTGCAATAGACAGAAGTGTGCCAACATAATAAAGGTTAAGAATATTACAAATATATACATCACGTAATGCTTCAGTGCTATTCCTTCCATTTCCAATAACATCATCTATAGCAGGCCACACCACAGAAATCTTTTGTTCAATGTTTTTAAATGACCTTCATATATATTTATGTTTGCAATAATACTTTTCCAGTCACAGGATTGTGACGATTGTATCAGTGTCAGCTTTAGAAATAACCATAATAATAATAATGCTCTGTTTGTAGATTCCATGGCATCAATGAAAGGATTGCCAAAGACAACTACGAAGGCCTTGTTCAGTTTTACTTCAGGTTTATACAAAACTGTGACACCAAGAGGCTCCCAGACGCACACAGCACTGTCCATGAACTATAGTTTGTTTTTGTTTCAATAGTTATAGTGGAAAATAAAAAAGTGTTTATGAATTCATGTTCCTGGATTATGTTAAAAAACCTAACCCTTCCTTTAGATCCTAGAGCTCTCTTTATCAGTGATCCCCAGCCTATTTGGTGTGATGCTGACTAAATTCAGTATTCAGCAAATAAATCTACAGATATGTTATATTGTTTATTTATTTTTGCCAATCATTGCTTTGCATGCTTGGCAAGAAAATGTAATTGGCACTTTTGGAGATTCCAATGAAAATGGACCTAATCAATTTGTCTCTATAAATACAATCTCCTACATGCTTTAACTCTTTCAGCCATCTATTAAGGGTGTCAGGGTTCCCTCTTAACTATTGTATAACTACCATGTTAACCTCTGACTTACTAGATATGTATTAGAAAATCTACACAGACATGGGGAGAACATGCAAACTCCTCACAGAAAGGTCTGCAAGTGGGATTGAACCCCAGGACCTTATTGCTGTGAAGCACAAGTACTAAAGTATCTCCTACTATGCCTGAAGTGTTATGTTATTTAGTATATGTTAGTATATGTTGTTTAGTGTTGTGTTGTGTAGTGTTGTGTAGTGCTGTAGCTCTGGGCTCACATTTCAGTTCCATTATTACAACATGGATACTACACACTCAATACTTGAAGGTTGTTTAAACACTGGAAGAAGTGAAATCAACATTTTTAAAATGATACCTGCCCATACTGTACATTACAAGATCTTTAGTCTTAAAAAAATAATAATAGACTGAATTTTTCAATTGTGTGATGTCAATGGAAATCAATGGTGACCTTTCTCATAATTATAGGATGTTTAATAAGGTGTTACGGATACTGGGTTGGGCCAGCCGCTCACATGACTCTTCTTCTGTGGCATGAGCTTAACCTTTGCAAATGTGCTACTAAAGATAAACAGATTAAACATGAACAGGAAAATAAAATTACATCACATTGCCAAAACATTGTCATGAATCCAAATTTGATTTTTGTAGCTACTAAAGCTATTGTGTTGATCCATTTCCTACCATTCCTATTACGAGTTTTGTTCTGACGTAGCACACAGCCACAAGTTTGACATGTACACACAGTTTTAATGAACACATCAAGGCTTATAAGAGACACAAAAGCAGTAAATGATACTTTAGTAAATGATAATAACATAAATGTACACATACATGTTCTAACTATCTGTGCCAACATCAGTTCAAGTTATTTTTGTATAAAATCAAGGACTGAGGCTGTAGAACAGAGGTCGGGAACCTTTTCAGCTAAGAGAGCTAAAAATACCAATTAATAAAATATACTTTCCTGGGAGCCATCAATTTTTTTCAGTGTATGTTTTTTTTTTTTACGGCAAAAGCAATAGATTTAGTGTAACATTGTATAAAATTATCCTCAATTTTTTTTATTATTAAAAAGTGTATGCTGTGTAGGGGATTTATAGCTCAATATCACACATATCTTAAGTTATTTATTTGATATCGGAGAATTGGGTCAAACAATCATTAGTAAATACAATAATTGATAATAGCTATTTTCCGTGCACCAGTGAATAAATCTCAACTGATAACGTGCGTATGACGTTACGTTATCTATTTATCGGCTCATTTCTTGATTCAGTAATCTTATGAGTACTTAATTATTCAATCAGCTTTAAGTCCAATTCTCTTTAATAAAATCTGAAGGCATGAATCCTTTTACAAATCTGTACAAAACCTCAGCTCTGGAGTTAAATCAGCACAAATATCACTTTCAGACAGGTTTAATGCAGTATAAACTAAACAGTTTAGATATGAAATATGCCAATTGTCAACATGAAGAAAAGGCTGATTGCAAGACACATGGTTAAAATGCAAAGGCTTAGGTGAGATAAAGCTATGGTAAAGGCCTTTGTTCTTCTAAATGGATTAGTAGGCTGAGGTTTGCCTGTGTTTGCAGCCTTTGTAAGAGGTTAGGTGTTCTTAGCTTGAATTGTAGGTTTTTAAGCCAACAACTGTGTGGAGCAGAGCAGATCGTACAACCAGATTGTGATGTTGGTGGATGGCAGTCCTTGTTGGCTCGGCATGGCGATGGATGGAGACCAGTCGACCAGAACAGACTGAACAACTAAAGTCATAATTATGACAGATAAAGTAGGAAGAGGATGGTGCTCAAGTTATTTCCCCAAAGTGTCTCCAAGTGCAGCGCTACTGATAATCTGTTTATTTTTTTTACTTAAAGAAGCTATACCCAATTTATTTTCTAATGAGTTAATAAAAAAGCGTTTTACTACATACAAGTTGTATTAAAATCCATAATTTCATTGAAAACTTGAGCTCATTGATTCAGCTTGTGTATGAATTTATTCCGTAAAAAGTGCTGAGTAGAGACTTAGCGGAACGCTCGTTCTCTTCCACTCACAGAACGAGGAGTGAATAGCCTGCGTCCTCTAGCCGCTACAGCGCTGGTGGTAAACACAGCAGGATATTAGCAAAAAGTGGCTACTTCCTCTGTCTGTAAATGCATACACAGCAAAACAGCCCAAACGACTCAACAGTGAGAAAGAGAAGAGGAAACAACCATCAAAAATGATCAAAGAAGAAATCAAGCCTGGGTGAACATATGTAGCGTTAGCTTACCTTTAGCTTACACGGTATCTTCTGGAGAGGCCTTTGGGTGCGGGGCCGCCTCGGACTATCTATGCTCGGACATTTGGACGCAAAACTAGAGGTAATCTTTCAGTTTTATATTTTGTTAGCAGCGCGTTGCTTTTGTACCATTTCATCAGTGATTGTTGTTCAGCTTACAAGAAGTTGCGCTAATGCTAATGTTTGCATACGTATCAGATCGCAAATAAAACTAGATGGCTCTGTGGGATGAGAGCGTAGGGGAAATGAGAAGCCTGTGAGCGAGTTGGGGGGGCGATGCTAAACATTCAAACTGAGAAAAACCAAGAAGAAACGGGTATAACTCCTTAAGGTTGTATAAGTCTTGCCTACCTAGCCACATGAATTGAAAATGACTGTTTTAAGCCTGGTCTTGAACGTAGGGACTGTGTCCACCTCCTTGACATAATTGGGGAGCTGATTCCACTGTATAAAAGGTTTGTAGCTTTAACAACCAAATATCCATAGCACTAATATCCATTGTATCTTGTGTTAATGAATGACATCAGTTTTTTACCAGCTGAGAAATAGCATAATTATGTATCGATGTATTTTACATTACACCATCACAGAACTTAATTAGGACAGTGCAGGAGTAAAATATTTTTGAGCTCCTTATTGTCCATTTTTATGTATCCATGCACTATATCAATATGTCCATTGTTCAGAATATTCCGTCCAAAGCCTGGTTCACATGGCTGGATAATAAGGCTGATTTTGTCTCTGAATCCTCTCTTTTCGACAATCTTAAGAATGCCTCTTTAAAAGATACTCCTGCCATGTGTGATGTGGAAAGACTGCTCACTTAAAGATGTTCATACAAAAGATCTTTCACTTTTGCAATAATAATAATAATAATAGTAATAATACAATCTATGTGACGTAAATGCTAATGAATGGTGATGTTTCTCATAATTATAGGATGCCAGAAACAGGTAAAATGTCACTGGTCCTGGGCAGGGCTAACATGACTCTCCTTCTATGGTGTGAGCTTCATATGCTACTAAAGGTAAACAGACTAAAAGTGGTCCATTTTTTAAAAAAATACCTATGTCACATGTGGCGTAATCCAAGCTAAGAACAAAAAGAAACTCTCTCCATAATAGATATACTCACTAACTGAGTTACAGTTTAAGAGGAAGCAGACTCATGCATATGCCAAAATTTTAGAACCAGTTTAAAACCTACATGTGTGCGTGTGTGTTGGGTTTGGGTTTTGTTGAACAGCGATACACGTTTAGCTTTTATCTGCTACAGAGGTGACAGTGCAAGAAATATGAAAGGTTCTGAAGGAATCATGTAGCACCTTTTAAAACAATATTTGAGGTATCCACTTGCAATGTCTTGTGTAAAATTTTAAAGAAGTGACTCATTAAAAAATGTACGTACTGTTCAGCTTAAAAACAACATTGAGTTAGATATAGAAAATGATCACTCACATGGTGAACAACAGAATCTTTAAGCCAAGGTTAAAAGACAATCTAAAACACTGTGCAGTATAATAATAGCCTATGAGTAACTAGTGCAGTAGTGGCACTAGTAGTAGAAGAAGCAAAATGTGCTGTGAGATGGTCGCCCATCACTGTTCTGACTTGGATTGGAACCCAAGATATTTGTGCTGAGAACCAAGAGTGCTAACCACTCTGCCACTGTTGTAATGTAGTTGTATTACATGATGAAACTAAGCAATGGACTCATCACAAACGGTCGTAGGCGCTCAATACATCTTGGAGTAAAGACATCCACTTTTTTCTTGATGATGACTGATACTTATACAGCAGGCTTAAAGGACCAGTGAGAGAAACTCATCTTGAAATAGTTTATTTGCATCCGTAACAACAGTTTCAGTTTCAGTATCATGTACAGTAGTTGGACAGGCAACCATTTTTTAGTCACATACAAAAGCCCCAAATAGCACTTTCATCAATATATTAAAATCACAAACCAGACTTGAATAATTTAAACTAATTACAAACACCATTTTTATTGAAGAATATATTGTGTTAAAATACTCCACAACCTCTAATATTAAATTGGATTGACTTAGTCTTTAGCTCACACCTGCTGTGGCTTTGTAACTAGGAAAGTGCAGCTGAGATTAAGAATCACTTTTTCCTCAGAGCGGAGGTCCAGTTCAAAGACATTTTCCTTTCATTATGGAAAAGTGAAGAAGCTTGTTCTGAAGAGCAGCCCTGGAGATCAGAACTGAAGAGTAGCAGTCCTTGATCAGTTACAGAAGGTGGTGCTGACAGCTGGGCTTCATGGGAAGACTCCACTTTGTCCAATGCAGGCGCCTCCTTACTTACACAGCTGGTGCTGGTGGAACTGGAAGTCAGGTTGTACAGAAAAAAAAGTCTGTTAATTTCAATCACAGGTATAAAAAAAAATATTCTAGAAACTTTGACAATAGTAGCGAAAAGACAAAAGGGCTGTGGGTTGAAGCTAATCATAGACAATCACACACAACCGCGCGGTGGAGGACGGAGCTGGGCATGGAGCCTATATCTGGCTTTTCTAGTTCTGTAATAATATAGTCGGATGGCCTCTTACTGTGTGTGAAATGTAAAAATACTATAATTAATAATAATGTATGTTTTGACCTTTACTCCTAAATTCTTTTCTGGCCTTCAACCATGACTGTAGAAAATTATGACATCTTCAAATATACCGGTACCTATAGTTTGCTTTTCAGGTAGTTTATGAAGGGGTAGTTGCCAGCACTACAAAACCTTCCAGCGAAGTCATCCAGGTCCAAGCTCACCACACACACTCCCCCATAGCCGTTAGTGGTGATGTGTGCAACCTACAAATATGAGAAAGACACTAATGTAAGCCCATATCACAGTTCAGACCATGTATTTCACTAAACCCTGGTTGGGCATGCTGCAATGTTCTCTGTCACCTCCAAAATGTAACTCCCAACTCCAATTTTGTGTTTGTATGTAACAGATACTATAGTTGCACATATATCAGTGGTCAGGCTGTGCTTTCAAACTCTGTATTTAAGAAACTTGTTTGAAAAAATTAATAATGTTCGTACTTTCAAAACCAACTATTAATCCATAGTTAGTTACTACAGTATAGCAACCGTAAAGTAATCGAGGGCCAAAGCTCTCCTTCACACAATAGTTACGGGATTAGAAATACAAGAAAACACAATTAACTAAATGAAATGACCAGCTGATGCTCTTAACTCTGCTTCTCATAATTATGATTTGATTGAGGTATGATTTTTCATACCTTTTTATATACAATACTTTGAGGTGTATTTTGTGAATGCTGCTCGACAAGAAACCTTTAGAAAATAGATTTGGTCTTGTCATATTGGTATTCTCCTGTATAAAAAGCGGGTAAATACACACATGCTAAAATACACTGCCATCGCTAAAGTTCTGTATGAACAGTTTGTGTATATGATGGATATTTAATTGTATACGGTCAAACTAAGGCATGCGCAGGAGTGCCGTTGTTAGAAAATTTTAAATACATTTTTAAAAAAATTCTAAAATACTACATAATGCCGCTTACTTTCATATAGCTGTTTTTCTTAGCTAATTATTGTTGAATTTGATGACCAGTTTTGAACTACATATAACTTCCTGTACATTTTTACTCATTAAAATCAATATTTCTGTTTCACCAATAACTGTAATATAGTTACACATGGATATATAATATTATTACTATTATTATTATTGTTATCATTATTATCTACGTAGCACATTTGACAAAATTACTGAGTTATACCTTAGCATCAATACTGGCTGTGTTGTCAAAACCAACCCACTGTCCTTCTGAGACTGCGTACGGAACGCTCTGGTCTGCAATCAGCTGGTCAGTCTCCGTGTAGAGGCAAACCTGAAAAATACAATTAGTTGTTAAACAATTACAGTTTAACAACATCTATATATTTCTATTTAAATATATTCTGCAGAGGACAAGATGCTGCTTCTTGCTTTATACTTAATTGCTGTCCAAATATTATGCAAGGTCATATTGTTTTTTTAAATTTCAAATTTTCATACTTGTTTACCTGTAATGTTTTTGGCTAATTAAAAAGACTTATAGAGCCAACCAAATGCAAGCACTTCCTGTTTCTTCAAGGAGAGAACAGCATCTGCTATTTCAAAAGTTGTGTTTGGTTTTATCTTTGAGTATTCCAGTATTCTGCCTTCATGATGGGTCGAGAGAATTTAGATTTTCTCTTGCCCTGTATTCCAACTCCAAAGCTTGGACATGAAAATATATGAATAAATATAATTATAAATGAGGCAAAACGTCACAGAACAGTTGGATGACATTGGAATAATCGAAACAGTGGTGAAGACTACGTCAAGCAATTCTCACTGGGAGAAAATAGTACTGTCACTCGCTGCTCCATTGGAAAATACCATATACTCAAATCCAGTCTAGTTCAAGGAAATACTAACTTCGTTTTACAGTGTTTTATCCTGTCTGCTCTACTATTGAAAAGAAAGTCAAAGGACAAGTTCAATATTTCATTTAGTTGAAGATAATGTAACATAATTGAACAGTTACATACTAACTGTTGGATTAGTTTGGCTTCCCCAAGAAACTTGAACTTAACTTACAGTACCTCATAATAGGACCAGATCCCAGGCGGGTTTCCAAAGCAGCCCTCCTCTGCAGGACCAGACGTAGCGGCCCCAGGTCCACTCACACTGGGGTCAGTGAGGGTAAAGGCCACTCCATACGCTGCAATCCCCATGTTGAGCTTTGCTGCTGGGACCCCGAGATCTGAGGCCCAGTAGTTCATTGCATATTCCTGTAAATGCAATAAAAGTCCATTGATGAGACTTGACCCTAGCTTGGATTACAAAGAGAGAAGGACGAATGAGGACTGAACACTGTGGATAATATTGTACTCGCCGTGGTCTTAGTATCTGCAGCATTTGAGGACAGTGCCCCCAGAGGACTGTGATGTGCTGTTACTGCTGATGATGGATCATGAAAGCCAAATGTCAAAACATTGATGAAATCCAGTGCACTGTAAAATAAAACACAGTCAGTTTTACAATTATTGAACTTTGCCAAAACTGTGAACCGAGACCCTACTTGGCCAAGGCGACAGGAGTTGGATAACTGTTGACAATCATAGTCTTTTCAGCAGACACACTGGCAGAGAGGAGCAGACGTGGAGAGGCTGCATTAAAAGCAGTTCTGAGTTCCTGAAAAACATCCAGATAAAACATTTAAAAACCTTTGTAATGTTTGTCTAATAGAGTTTCTTGCATTTAATTTGTTGCATTCTCTGCCGTAGGAGTGACACAATATCTGTATTTATTTAAGGTTAATTGTGACAATAATTAAACTGTTGTTATTCTGGAATAAAAAGTATAAAAACAATAAGATATAGATATTGGACTCTAACCTGACAGAGAAAAACGAATCGATTCTTGTCCTGCGGCTGGGTGCTTGCGTCTCCAGGATAGCGCCAGTCCAGGTTGAGTCCATCAAAGTTATAGGTTTGAAGAAGTGAAATGGCTGAAGCGATGAATCTACTTCTGCTGTTGGACGAGGCCACCATTGTCGAAAACCTGTTGGATACAATAAAGATTGCACTTATTTTTGGTTTTTATGTGTGAACTTTTCAAATTAAACCTAGTTATCTAGTGGTGCCTTCTGAGCAGCTGGGACATTTCCTGCTTCAGAATTCAACAAATACACTGGAATTCTGCTCAAACTGATGTTCCCCAGGTGTGAACTGGGAGATGATGAGTTAAAAGTACCATATCAACTGTTACATAGAGAGTTAGCTGGAAGTTTTAAATCTTACTTTTGAGTGTTAAAGCCCGGGCCGCCTACAGCCAGCAGAGTCTTTAATTGTGCGTTGCTGTAAAACAGAAACATAAATCAGATTTAATGAGCTTTTTTACACATCTTAAATTTTTTTTGCTTTTCACAGACCTGGATTTAAGGCTGTTCAATGCTGTATAGAGGGTTGTGTCCGAGGCCTGAGTAGGAACGAGTTCTTTTGTGTTATCAACGGAGGCAAAACCAAAAATGATGTGGGTGCACAGATTTGGATCAATGTTTGCTGGGAGTAACTGGCCGCCAGGGCCTCTGGTGGCTGCTTCGCTGTTGTAGTAACACACCAGCCTGTTGCAGGAAACTAGAAACACATATTGTAAATTAGTTGAGATGAAGGAAATATAAACATTTATCATACAGTAGACTTACCCATTGAAGCCCAGAGCAGGAAAAAACCTAAAGAAATCAAGTAAGAGAATTTATTTGTGCTTGTTTGAAAAAAAAAAAAAAAAAACGTTTAACCCTTTAAAGCCCAAAATACATATATGTAAAAAATAAGTATTGTACCTGCTGTCAGAAGTATGCTGTGCATCTTTCTAGGAGAAGAAAATCAGAAACCATTTCAAAGTTGCCACATATGTGAAGGTGAATGAATGAGGACTTGAGACCTTTTCTTTGGACAAGATACCTGAATAATTTGAATAATAGTTTGCGTTCATGTTAAAAAAATGTGTTTAGTTTGTTGGAACAGATGAACAGTTATTATTTTTTCTTAATATGTAAAAAAAAAAAAAAGATCTATAAGATAAACTTTTTCTATAGTTTTGGAGTGTCAAAAATTAAATTTAAAATACACAGACACATAGTAGATTATTTGTTTATCTCCTACTTCCATAAACTTTAACTAAAAGAAGTAACACAGGTTTACAAAGTTATTCATCTGTATTTGATTGTGTTGAAATAAGGAAATTGTTTACTCACAAATGTTGCTGCTCCTTTGACGAGCGAATGATTGTCTTACCCACTCATAACCTTTTATATTGTCTGAGCTGTGGGACACAGACAAGCTTAATGACCAGGTTCACTCTACTATTGCTCATATGACAAGGTGTGGCACAAAGCAGCAATACTACATTTCTTTCAACTTAATGCATGTTCTGTAGTAATAATTATTAAGTGTTGGTTTTGCCTTTGTGTGACAGAGGACAGAAGACTCGGAGCAGCTTTTGCAGGATAAACCCAGTCTGCTCTTACCACAGACTGTAGATGACGATGATGACCTACTGTAATGTCAGGGAGAACGCCTCTATCTATTTCAGCTTCAAATATTGCTACTTGGTGCTTAAGTGGGATCAATAGTCTTCAAATAGTCCCCCCCCCAACAGTCGTCCCCCCCCAAGGTACTTCACAATCTATTCATGTTAGATTGTCTTTATTTCACATTTACTGCTTTTACTGTGTTCTTTGAAAGTGGCCCGGGTTTAGTTTTAAGATGAAGTTTTAATCATGTCATCTCCCGCTAGGACAATTGAGATGTAAAGGTAAATGTGTAAAATGACAAAAATTGATTGTGAAGTGAAGATGATCGGGGACACTTGAAGAAGAGAAATGATTCTGTTGATGTGTCATATGTCATATATTGGATATATTGGATGCCACAGTGGGGTGACTGCGGCTGTAAAGTGGCAAACTGCCGTTGTGTCCTTAGGCAAGACACTTTACCCCAATCATTGCCTAGAATGCGTCTGATGTGTGTGTGAATGGTTGGTGGTGGTCTGAGGGGCCGATGTCACAAACTGGTTGCCTCGCTTCTGTCAGTGTGCCCCAGGGCAGCTGTGGCTACAGTAGTAGTTTATCACCACCGTGTATGGAGTGAATGAATAATGACATGTGAAGCGTCTTTGAGTGTCCAAAAAAGCGCTTTATAAAACTGATTTATTATTATTATTATAATAATAATAATAATAATAATATCAGATACTGAATCATCATTCTTATGCACTATCTCATATGATCCTATGAAGGACTAGATAGATTTTAAAATCTTTATATGCTTTTTAGTGAAAAGTACAACTTGATATAAGGTGGGCCTGAGGGATACTTCAAACAGTGAGATGAGATAAGATAAAGATTTATTGATCTCATGATGGAGAAATGTACATGTCACATTTGGCATAGATAGTATCACTCAGGGTAAGCACAAAGACAAGAAGTGTGCAAACGTGCTGAAAAGGTTAAATGTCTTTTTGTGCAAGATATTTTATGTACAAAAACAAATTAAAAGTGACTATAGTAGTGCAAGTTTTTCAGTCCGAGTGTAGACTTTGGGAACCCCTGGTCTACAGCATTAATTACAATGATACAATGTTGGACAATATCAAATCAAGCATTAGAATATGGGGGCTTTTTTGTTCAGTATTGAGAGAAGAATGCCTGCAATTTCAGGTGACTACGACAAAGTATTGGGCCTCATTGCAAAACTCAAGGGGGCGCTCTGGTGCAAATTCTAGTCTAAATGGACCCATGTACATGGTATTCAGGGTTATTCCACTTAGTGCTCAAAGGGTCGTGGCTGCAGGTTACTGCAATACACCAGACTCCACCCATTTTCTATAGTTTTTTTTTTCCTTTTGTTTAACTATTGAGATTCAAGATCGCTTTTCTAACATTGTCTGGTCTAAGAGCCATTCACATTGCATCTCTCAAAAACTTTTCTATAAACATCTCCAGTTATATAGATTTCCAGGTCTTTCAGATGGGTTCCAAAATGTACTACATGAACAAGACTGGAGTTGAATCGTTATCTTGGTACGCGATAAATGAGTGGAGACAAGCGTGCTCCTGTTCGTTTGGAATGAAAACCCGCAGCCACCCGGCCCATTAAGGACCAAATATGCATGTGTATGTCAATGTTTGCAGAGTATCTTTGCACATATTAAAATTAATAGATCCTATATTTTCACAACAGTGGGGAAATTTAAGTGTTGCATCATAAGTCACAGAACAGTATGAGTAATGAGCACATTGCACAAGATAAGTGAATATTAAGCAAAACACAAGCCTATAATTTGAAAATAAAAATGTAATATATTTTCTATATTTGTCATTTCGTTTTTTAAGTCTTTCAACTTTGGAAATACAACCTACAGTAGAGACATCGACTGTGGGGTCTTGGATTCAGAAAATCTTAACCAGAGCACGCCACTTTTTTCCCCATAAGAACATGATTATAATACAATACAATAATTTTGGAAATTGTGACGCCAGTGTGGCACCCTGTACATATTTGACCATTATTATAAAAAGAAACCCCCCACCAAATATTATTTGTGAATATTATAGGTTAATGTTTTTTTTTTTACATTAACCCACTGTTCTTCAGTTCGTTTGGCCACAGATGCAATACTGGACATGGCCATTAGGTGTCAGTAGTGGCGCCAAGTAAAGACAATGTGTTAGTCTATGGCTGTGTTGTACCCATGGATCTATAATACTAACTGGATAGGGTATTACTGGCTTATAGCTGTCCCACCCATGGGCACAGGGGGCGCCTGTGGTTCTGCAGACTAAATTCACACGGGCTACCCAGAAAAAAAAGTCTCATAGAACTCAATGTAAACTAAAACAGCTTGACCTCAGCTGACAGAGAACCTACAGCTTTCATAAAGATCAGATTTTGTGGGGATTGTAGTGTCCCTTGTCATCCTGAACTTTTTTTCTTCTTAAATCCTTCGGTTTTCTTTAAATCCACACTTTACTGCCACAAACTCTGCTCCCTGCCTTCCCGCTCTGACTCCGCTCTACCACTGCTCTCATCAGCTCTGATTGGTCAGAGCGTAGCCGAGCCCCTCTGTGCACGTGCATGAGAGCCACACACGCGTATTTGGCGCAACGCATTATGGGAGCTCGTCCACTGCACAGAACCGGGAGGACCAGACGCTGCCCAAATATAGGTGAGTTCTGCTAATCTCCCGGTCTCTCTGAAGTCCCACTACTGAGCACAAGCCATTCATTTGAATAGGGAGCCATCTTGGATCACCGGGGCTTGGTTGTATATACCTACTACTGAACATTTATTTTGTTTGTTGCAGAATAAACCTGTAACCTAAAAAGAGTTCTCTGTTACGTGTGTAACACCAATCCAATTTAATCAAATAAATCCACAGTTCATTTTAATAAAGGACTTTTATTTCACTTCAACAGAGTGCCTCAGACTTCTTTTTCTCTTTTCGACATCCTTAATCAAATAAATGTTCTTCGTATCGTCCGAAATCAGAACAAAAGTCATCTGGAGGAGCATCACACAGCATTATCCAAATTTAAGAGGAAACTGAAGGCTCATCTACAGGGGAAGTATGTGACTGGATGAAAACATTGAAGCACTAAGAGTTTTGAACCACTCTGTATTCGGATCTGTTTGAGGCGATAAGTAGATCTCTCTCTCTTTCACAACCATGATATCATGGTTGGCAGAAGTTACCCTAGCTGCAAACACTTTCAAATGCACATTATAGGAATACAATAAATATTATAACTTATTATCATTATTATATTATCATTAATGTTAGCGGAGACGAGCCTTCAGGAGCTCCGTCTGCCCAAGCGTCTTGCACTTCTTTGAAATGTGATGAAGATGTATTATTTATTATTACTTATCTGTTATTTTGATTAGTAAAAAAAAACATTATCATTATTGTTATTATTATCATTATCACAGCAGCAGAGGTGGAGTAGCCTCTGGGTGGAGCAGGACGGGTCACAGCAGCAGATGTGGAGTAGCCGCTTGGTTCGGACCATTTTCTCTGCTCTAGTCCAAAGTAAATATGCTAAATGCTTCATTAGCATTTTTCAAAAAGTTAGCATTCATCCAGTGGATTTTCACCTGATCCACTTGGTTCGGACCATGAATCCTCTCTGCTCTAGTCTCGACCAGTATAAAACCATGAACACTGTACTTCAGCAACATCTCAGGTAGAAAACAGCAATAAAAATAAAAATTGTAAAGCACAAAACAACCACTGTTTCAGAGCTACTTAGGACTTTCTGCCGTTTCCCAGGCATTCAAAAGATATGTGACAAGTTAAAATATACTTTATGATGGATAGCTGGAAAAAATAAAAAATGGTTGAGAGAGTCTGGTGCATTGGTCAATGAAGAATGTGAAGGTGTGAGGACTTCAGCACAGAGTGAGTGGAGGTGCGTGGTCAGAGAGTGTTTGGGCCTGTGTCTTTCCGTGTGTTGTCAAGTGTGTATGTGTGTATGATTGTGTGGGATGTGTTGAATGAGTGAGAGGGGTTGGAGCCAAATAAGCATCTGCGTCGTCCAGCCTCTTTTTCAAACGCTTTTTTGTGTTTATTTTGTAACTTGTTTATTGTTTATATTGTTTTTTTAATGTTTGAAATAAATTCGTACTACTACTATTACCACCACTATGACTGTGCATTGAATTCACAACATGTATGAGTGCATAGTGCATAATGGGAATACAGAACAACCAATTTTAATTGTGTGAAACAAGACAATGTTTTAGTTTTGGCATTTTTTATTTAATTTGTATATGTTATGGTTGATCACAGCAGTTGCGGGAGGTTTTGAAGACCAGACCAGTGGAACATGACATCAGAGTAGCAGCACCATGATCACAGTTAAAAAATCTTTTATTGTCAGTAGGGTTTGGGTGGACTCCACTCTTTCTATTGCAGATGATGTCTGAGCACAAGATAAGATAAGATAAGACAGACTTTTCCAGAATAAACAAGCTCAATCTATGTCCCTTTGTGCATTACCTCTCTGAGCTCTGAAAAGTCTCTACTGAGGGACGATATAGCTAATCGGATCTTATAACATACTTGAAAGTTTGCTTTTCAGATGACTGATGAAGGGGTTAATAGCGGCGTTACAAAACTGTCCGGTGTAGTCATCCAAGTCCAGCGCCCACACACACATGCCCCCGTAGCCCTGCGCTGTGAGGTGGTCCACCTGAAAACAGGAAGGAGAAACAGAAAGGTTGTGATCATGTTGGAAGTTGAAAACTTCAGCATAGACAGGTCAGTCAGAATGTAATATTTAAAATTCCTTGACAATATATTGAGTCCCCGTTTAGATTTTTAGATTTTTTTTGTTTATTTACCCTGTTTTGTATATGTCCCCATGAAACAAAAACCTTATTATTATTGTTTTATTATTGTTTAAAATGTCGCTGCAAGACGTCTGCAGCGCCGGACAAAAGTGCAGGCCGCGCATGGACGTCACCATTGACTTTGCATTGAAGCTCGCCACAACGCATGATCCGGTGGGAACACAGCTTACAGGAGCAGTATGTAAAAATCTCATGGATTTTCTGATTGGTAAAATGGAGGGCGGAACATTAAAATTAAAACAAAAACGAGATTTAGGGGCTGTAAAACAAATTTTGAAATCCAAATATCTCGGCTGAACTACAGTTATCAGTTAAATAAGTATTCAAATAGCTCCACTCTGAGTCCGGCGATGGACCTACTGCAGTTCGCCTACAGGCCGGGCATCGGAGTTGAGGACGCCATCATCACCCTCCTCCACCGCTCGCTGTCCCACCTGGAGAAACCCGGCTCCGCTGTGAGGATCCTCTTCTTTGATTTCTGCCTTCAACACCATCCAGCCGAGGATTCTCAGGGACAAGCTGGAGACAGCTGGAGTGGACTACGACCTGTCCCAGTGGATTCTGGACTACCTCACAGACAGACCCCAGCTTGTGAGAACCAGGGACTTTGTGTCGGAGGTCCTGACCTGCTGTGTGGGGGGCCCCCAGGGGACTGTCCTCGCGCCGTTCCTCTTCACCCTCTACACTGCGGACTTCAGACACAACACGGACGGTTGTGTCCTCCAGAAGTTCTCTGACGACTCTGCCATCATTGGACTCAGCTCCGAGGACGAGGACGCAGAGTACAGAGGAGTTATACAGGACTTTGTGGACTGGTGTCAGGAGAGCCACCTCCTCATCAACGCGGGGAAGACCAAGGAGATGGTGGTGGATTTCCGCAGACGTCCCTCTGCCGCTCCAGCCCCAGTGAACATCCAGGGAAAGAACATTGAGAGAGTGGACTCTAACAAGTACCTGGGTGTTCATCTGAACCACAAACTGGACTGGACTCATAACACAGACGCCCTCTTCAAGAAGAGCCAGAGCCGCCTCTACCTGCTGAGGAGGCTCAGGTCTTTTGGAGTGCAGGGGCCACTCCTAAAGACATTCTATGACTCTGTGGTGGCATCAGCCATCTTGTACGGTGTGGTCTGCTGGAGCAGCAGCATCACAGAGAGGGACAGGAAGAAGCGGGACAAGGTCATCAGGAAGTCCAGCTCAGTCCTGGGCTGTTCCCTGGACACAGTGCAGCAGGTGGGGGACAGGAGGGTCCTGAGCAAACTAACATCTATGCTGGACCATGACTGTCACCCCCTGCAGGACACGCTCTCTGCTCTGGAGAGCAGCTTCAGTGACAGACTAATTCATCTTTGCTGTGTGAGGGAGAGGTTTCGCAGATCCTTCCTTCCTGCTGCTGTCAGGCTGTACAACGAGAATGTGTAACAAGAACTGCTGAGTCTGTACAAATATCACTGATTATTCACTAGTAACTTTGTCACTAGTCACTTTACCTGTTATTAGTATTTCTGATGTTTATTCTGCTCATATTCACATTCTCATATTCTCCGCTGCTAAGTACAATATACACATCTGTAAATTCTTCTGAACCAAGAGCAATTATAGCCCAGAGTTTATTTCATTTTATTTTATTCTTTATCTTTATTTTATAGTCTATTATCTTAAATAATAGACTTATTTGATGTGTGCAATCTAAGTGCTCTTATTTCCTTCTTTGCTGTAATGTGCGCAACGATGACACTGAAATTTCTCCACTGCGAGACGAATGAAGGTTTATCTTATCTTATCTTATCTTATCTGATGCTTTTTGACATGACTTGACATGAAAATCTTACATATTGTTACTTTAAGGGTTGGGGCTCTCAGTCTACAACAATTTACAACAGCAATGTAAATTAACCCTGAAACCCATGGATAGCTTCAGCTGTGGGAAATGAGGATGAGGGTCTGGAAGTGCAGTGCTGAATGTCTGAGGAATGAATGTGAATGTTATTTGTTTGGATTTTTATTCATTTTTTGTATGTAAACTACATAATGATTGTTTTGTGTAACCCCTCGATTGCCACAGGAGGAAGGGGTTCTGATGGAAATGCTCAAAGGCTGGAACTGGCCTGGTGGACTGGTGTTTGCCGACCACTGGGTTAGAATCTATTGATTCAATGACCAGGATTCCCCTCTCACAACTGTGACAAATGATAATTGTTGGATTTTTTTTCTATTTTTTTAAATAAGAGGGCACCGGTCATTCAAGTGGTACAGATTCAATTCAGAATCTTGGATTTGATTCTTGCATGTTGGCCTACGCCAGGGCTGCCCTTTGTCACCGGTTCTGTTCACTGTATTCATGGACAGAATTTCTAGGCGCAGCCAGGGGCCGGAGGGGGTCCGGTTTGGGGACCACAGGATTTCATCTCTGCTGTTTGCGGACGATGTTGTCCTGTTGGCTCCAACGAGCCAGGACCTGCAGCATGCACTGGGGCGGTTTGCAGCCGAGTGTGAAGCGGCTGGGATGAGAATCAGCACCTCCAAATCCGAGGCCATGGTGCTCGACCGGAAAAAGGTGCCTTGCCCTCTGCAGGTGGGTGGAGAGGTCCTTCCTCAAGTGGAGGAGTTCAAGTATCTCGGGGTCTTGTTCACGAGTGAGGGAGGGATAGAGCGCGAGATTGACAGGCGGATCGGTGCACAGTGTTGTGGCAGTTCACAGCTTTTCTGAACTAGTTCAAGTTTATTTCATACATGCTCAAAGTTGAACAGTTCACTTTCAAAGTTCACATTTTTAATTCTGAACTAGTTCAAAGTTCAGTTCATTTTACTGAGTTCTGTACTTGAAACATTTGGTCTCACTCAGCACGTGAGTGGCCCCACCCACAGCAAAGGGCACACTCTAGACCTGCTGGTTACTAAGGGGGTTAATATTTTAAATGTAAATGTGGTTGACGTGGCTCTGTCAGATCACTTCTGTGTATTTTTTGACATGTGTTTTGATAGTAAACAACCATATATATCTGAAACTGCAATTGTCAGACACAGACACATAAATGAAAACACAACCGAACTATTCATGGGAATGATAAACTTTGAGAACACATTGTGTTCTACTGTTGACGAATTGTTTAACTCTGTCACCGCCAATGTTATAAATGTTCTGGACATCATCGCTCCTGTGAAGGTTAAAATGATTACAAATAAGCCAAAGGCCCCATGGACTAAAGTGGACTCAGTCATGGTACAGAAGAGAGAGTGCCGTAGGGCCGAGCGGAAGTGGCGAAAATCCAATCTCCAGGTTGATCATGAGATCTTCAAAAATGAGTTGTGCAGGACTTCCTATGACACGCCTAGAGGAGTAGACGTGTTTGTTCGAGCTCCCAAACCTTGAACTTATACATGGCCATTTGCCTACTATAACCCCTCTTTTGTTTTGAGCTGCTCGCCCTTAACTACTTTTTTTCATTTTTTACGCTCGGCGTTATGTCGAGAAAGTCAAGAAAGGAGGAATCGGACCAACCAGACGTGGCTAGTTTCACTAGCACTATGACGGAGCTGCTAACCACGAAGCTAGCTGAACATAAGGCAGATCTTTTGGCGGAGATAAAGGAAATCCACACAAGATACGAGGCAAAGCTGGACAGTGTTCTGACAATTGTTGATGACCACAAACGGCGAATTTCCAGCTTAGAACTGTCTGCAAATGCCACCAGCGCTGACCTAATGGGGATCCAGGCCACGCTGGGCGCTTTGTCTGCGGAGAATGCGAAGCTAAAGGCTAAGGTGGTGGATTTAGAAGGCAGAAGCCGGAGGAGTAACATTCGCATAATCGGTCTGCCTGAAGACATTGAGAGGGCTACTAGACCAACGGAATTCTTTTCACAGTTGCTTTTTGACGCTCTAGGCACTGACGTTTTGCCGTCACCACCGGAGCTGGATAGGGCTCATCGAACGCTGGCCGCTAAGCCAGGCCCCACTGGAAGAGCGCGACCCGTGTTGGTTTGTTTCCACAACTTTCAAACTCGAGAACGGGTGGTTCGTGAGGCTCGCAGGCTGAGGGGAAAGTTGAAGTAGAGGACAATCCTTTTCATATTGTGGAGGATTACCCCCCCGAGGTGATGGAGCAGCGCACCCCATACCGAGTTGTCATGAAGCGGCTCTACGACATGGGCCTCAGACCAGCGCTGTGGTTTCCAGCTAAACTGTCCGTGGTGCTCGAAGATGGCACGAGGAAATTTCTTCCATCAGTAAAGGAAGCCATGGACTTTGCGGACTCTCGAGGTCGTCGTGAGTTGATGGATAACTGACTTAAATGGTGTTCCACTGGTTACCGTAAGCATTTGGCACTTTGTTAGCATAGGTATGTTAGCTATATTGCTACTTAGTTGCCATGCATTACCGCTGCTGTATATGGTTGAGCTACACCAGTGATTTTTAGCTATCCGTACTTCTATTCTTTTTGGGACAAACTATCTTTTTTTTTTTTCTTTTTCTTTTTTTCTTTTTTCAAATGTTTTCGCATTTTCTTTTGGTTCGTAGCCTGACTTTTTCACATTTTATTATTTATGTATCTAAGTTTTTATTAATTATTTTTCATACTTTTTTCCGTTTTGTTCTAAGTAATGATCACGAGCAGCTATAACACATTTATATTTTATGTTTGTTCATGTATTTAGTTAAACTAAATAATGGTATTATTATAACTATTAGGGGTTTTAAGTTTCATATTCATTCATTCAGAGACAAAGTAACATTCTGATTTATTTTTATTTATTTATTATTTGTTTTTTGGTGTGTGTTTTTTACCGGTTTGTGTGTTTTGATAACTCAACATTTCCGCTTAGATTTGTTATTTTGTTTCATTTTTATTTATTTCTTTGAGGTAAATTGACCTTGATTACAATGCCTTTGTAGTGTGGGAGATGGGAATTGCTATGTTGGGAGTCTATTGGTTGGTGTCGCGGACACCGCCTTTGTGCAATGGACATAATATTTTCTTCTCTTTTTGGGGTGTTCTAGGCCAAGGGGTTTCATTTGCTGTTTTGTGTGTGTGTGTGTATGTGAGTATGAGTGCTTTTTATTTGTCTTGTTTTCTTTTTCTGCGCAGGTTCCTACTCTGTTCAGCTCATTTGTTCAGGACCCCAGTGGTGTCCGTCTATATGAATAAATCATCACTGCAAGTATGACCTCTACTCATAATGTACTACGGTTTGTCTCGTGGAATGTGAGAGGCACTGGGAATGTTACGAAATTGGGGCGAGTAATGGCTCACTTGAATCAGCTTAAAGGAGATATTTATTTTATTCAAGAGACCCATATGCTGAACAAGGATGTTATAAAGCTCAAAAGAAGTTGGGTCGGGGAAGTGTACCATTCCGCTTTTAACAGCAAAGCACGGGGGGCCGCCATAATTATTCGGAGAGGCACTTCATTTGTGATTGATAGGACTGTTTTGGACTCCAATGGCAGATTCGTAATGGTCTCTGGAACAATTCAGGGCACTCCTCTCTTATTAGTCTGCATTTATGGTCCGAATTGGGATAATAGCTCTTTTGTAACAAAAATCTTTGATTCCTTTCCAGATATCCAAAATCATCGCATAATTATGGGGGGTGATTTTAATTTGGTCCAGGACCCGTTGTTGGATCGCTCATCTAATAGAAATGTATTGCAATCTCGATCAGCCAGCACCCTGCTTACTCTTGCCCAGCAGTATGGTCTTGCTGACCCTTGGAGACAGAAGTTTCCGGATGCAAGGGCCTACTCCTTTTTCTCTCAGGTTCATCACACTTACTCTCGAATAGATTTTTTTCTTGTGGACGTCCGACTACTTTCAGTGGTTGTTTCTGTGGATTATAATAGCATAGCGGTATCTGATCATGCTCCAACCTCTCTCGACTTGGCCTTGCTTGCTCAGCCTGGTTCACCAAGAACATGGAGATTTAATTCTGTTCTATTAGCAGAAGATTGCTATAAACAATTCA